CAAAAACTGTAAACCCACCTGATAAAAACTGAAGAATGAGATATTCACACAGTATCACCTCACAAATTACACATCAGTTACAAAGGAGAAAATGTATTTTGACAATGAAGAAATCAGTTGGATATTACTTTGAGTGTTACAGGCAGCAGCACAAAAGGGTAAACTAACATTACACACATCTTGATGAAGAGCAAAGGAATATATATACACACACACACGCGCACACACACACACACACACGCCCCATATCTATGGAGGATTCTTATCAAGAAGTTTTACATCAATTGTAAAGGAAAAAAACCCAGTAGCCAACTGGATTCATTAGCTGACTATGAATTTAAAAATTACTACGTTCTGGATCAGAAAAAAACTACCATAAAAGATTACTATGAGAGGAAGTCTGACTATTAATATTAAATTTTCTTCGTGTGAAAATGACATTGTGAAAGAATCTCTGTCTTCTGAAGGTCTGAAATAGCTAGTAAATTGTTTTTCTAGGGATGGAGTGTGATGAAGCATGTAACGTCCAGTGATTCAGAACAAGGAGTTGCCTGTATTTGCTATCTCTCATTCTCGACTAGTGAATTTCATCCCTCACATCACCAAAACCATTCAATATTAACAATGATCTCTATATAGCTAAATCCAGTAGAACTTCTTAGTTTGTATTTTATTCTCACTGAAATTCTCACCTCTCTTCCCAATGGATAACCCATAAACTTGAACTTCTTCTTGCTTCTCTAGTAGCTTTTTCTAATGTGCTTCAGGCAGTCCTATCTTTGTCTCTAATAAATGCTGGGAAGCTCAGTTAGGGATCAGTTAGGGAACCTTTTTCTTTTCTACCTATATTCACTAGCTTCTTGTTCTTATTCACTCTCAGAGCTCTCCATAATAAAGATTCCCAAATTTTATCTCTAGGTTCAACTTTTTCCTTGAACTCTTCTGTGTGTTCAACTGACTCCTTGGGATTTGGTATCTAACAGGCATCTTAAACTTAACATATGGAAAAAAAGAGAATTGTTGCTGTTCTTTTGAAAACTGGTACTCCCCATCATTTTATTATTTCAGAATTATTGTAGCCACCTCTTGATTAATTCCCCCAATTCTGTCTCTGACTCCTATTTTAATCTACAAAGCAGGGCAATCAGAGGGATCTCATTAAAAATAAAAATCAGATCATACAGCTCCTAGCTCAAAACTTTCTAATGGCTTCTCAGAGAAGTTCACGTCTGTACCGGACCTTCACAACCTGCCCAGGTTTCCCTTTTGAATGCATCCATGTTTTTTCTTTCAGTCTTCCCATTCTAGCAACAATGTTCCTTTTGTTAGTCTTCAAACACAACCAAAAAATTACACGTTCAAGGCCACTTGTTCACTATTTCTGCTTGCAATGCACTCATTCTCTAATCTCTGCTCAAATATTTTTCATGTTTGTCATTTGTTTGTTTCTTTGTCAGAATACAAGAACTCTGAGGTCAGGGATCTGTACACTTTTTTTCCACATGGTGTTTAGAATAAACCCTGTTATAAAGTAGGTATTCAAATAAGTATTTGATGGGCTAATAAAGGGAAAACTGGGAGTCTATTTTTCTTTTGGTTTTAGGGACTGAACCCAGGGTCTTCACATTTGACCAGCCCTTTTGAAATTTAATTTTGAATATGGGCCTTAGTAAGTTGCTAGGCTGCCCAGGATAGGCTTGAATTTGTGTTTCTCTCACCTCAGCTTTCCAGAATATTGGGATTCAAGGAGTATGCCATCATAGCTACCACCAAACATCCTTTTCACTAGTGTCAATTAAACAAGAGACAGCTAAGAGGACTTCTATTATCTCTTTTGAGATCAGTAAGATGGCATTATTCACATTGAGGATAGAATTTCATAGATATTATTTACATTCATACTTGCATTGTCTACTACAAAAAGGCAACAGAATTATTAATACAGAAAATACGTAAGAGATAAAACTGATATAGTTGGCACCTTTCATTTATATTTATGCTACAAATTTCCTAATGAGACACATTCATTGATGAAAACTTTACATGTATTCTATTATCTACTAATCAGACTGAGGTAGGCAAGAAATTTTAGCAATAATTTGAGATACTACATATCACACATACATCAAAAGAATGAATTACAATTTTCTTTAAAAGTCCCCAAAACAAAATTTACACTGATTGACTGATTTTTTTGAGACAGGGTCTTAGTACGTGGTTTAGGGCTCATAGTAATCCTCCTGCTTTACCCTCCAAACTGCTTGGATTACAAGTATGTGCCAGCATGCCCAGCATTTTTACTAATTTATAAACCTATTACTAAGGCTGCATTGCAAGATCACCCTAGGAACAAATACCAACAGGAACATCCATTTCAACTGTTACACCAATGAACCTGTTATCTATGTTCAATACTTTACAATTAAGGGATTAAACTCCACATTACTATACAGTATAATCCAATGTAAAAAGGAAGTTTAACTAGCGCAAACTAAAAGTCCTTTTAAAACTCAAACCACACCATATTCAACAAGTGTTAGTGATTAAGAGTAGTTATTTTTTAAAAGAGCTTAATATTTTGAAGATTTGGGCCACAGAAAAACCAATAAATGATATAATCTCACACTGACCCTCTGTGGTTTCCTGAAGTATAACATCATAAAAATCCAAAGATTCAATATAACCAGTACTAAAAACATTTTTAAAGAGCTGAATCCTCCAAAATATACACATGACTTAGTACTTTATAGTTTATAAGATACCTTTATAAATATCTGAAATTTAGCAGGAATTACTATTCTCTCTTTCCAAAAGAATAAACTGATATTCAGAGATTAGCTCAAATACCTTACACTGTATATGTAGAGTATCTAAAAGACCTTTTACTTTTTCACACTCACACGTACATACACACAACACAGGTGATGACATCTCACTGAAGCCTTTAAAATATTATAGTTTAGAACTTTTAAAATATTTTAAATTGAGGTGTTCATCTGTCTATTTGAGAAAGTCAATTTTCCTCCATCCAATTAAAAGTAAAATATATATATATATCCAACAGTGATAATTCCATGAAATTGGCACTCATACTGATACTGAAGGGATTATAATCTAGTATAATATTTTTGGAAAAAAATTAGGTCATACTCTCAAGACACAAGAAGTATTCATGTCTCTTCCTAGTTGTTCTATTTCTGGGAAGTTACCCTACGAAAATAATTCAAGATATGAAAAAAAGCTATATATTATTTATAATAACCTTGACACTTGGCATCTGAGATTTAATATTTGAGGTTTTAATACTGGTAGTTTTAACAGTTTGTAAGAGAACCATAGGTTGATCCACAGCATGTGTAAAGTCGCTGTGTGAGGGAAGAAGTCACGTAACTAAATAAGCTAGCCTGACGGCCAGCATCTGCTTCTGAGTGTGGCCTGGTTGTTTCCCACCAATCCTCACATGTATAAAAGTATTTCTAAAATAGGGAAAAAGGAAAAACATCTGTGTTAAAAAGTTTTTAAACTTAAAAGGTCCTAAAAAAGCAAGCCAATTTGGTGACAATAAGTAAAGAGATCTAAGAAAAGACTAATACATGTGAGTTTGGAATCTATTTCTTTGCAATGCCATAGGTCTACTGTAGTGAAAGACTAGAAATACGGATAAATATTTGACAACATAAAAATGGTAAGTTAAACTGCAATCCAACTAAGCACTGTTTAAATATAGATACTAGAAATTATAGTTTTTCACTATGAATTTTCAAAATAATTTGTATATATCAACATTATATCCACAAACAAAAAATTCAAGATAAAAATATACTGCTAAATAGAAGTGTGCTTCACTTCTGACAGCAAGAACACTGCAAAAAAGGATAACTAGATATCAAAAGTCCTCATTAGTGGGGCTGGGGATTTAGCTCAGAGGCATAAGCACCTGCCTTGCAAGCAGGCAGTTGTGAGTTTGATCCCTGGTACCGATAAAAACCAAAAAAGACAAAAAAAAAAAGTCCTCATTAGTACAGGGGCAAATCTGTAGTCACAGTTTCAACTGTAGATCAAGTAAATGTTTTAAAAACCTGTGTCTGTACCGAACATGTGCAAACTTTATTTCTTGCCATTACTTCCTAAAAAATACATTATAACAACTTTTTACATAAATTCATAATTTTACATAAAATTTGGTATCATAAGTAATCTAGAAACGACTTAACACACAGGAGGACATATGTGTTATATGTGACTAACACGCCACTTGAGCGTTTGCAGATTTCACTATCTGTGGGAGGTCCTAGGACCAATTCCCCAAGGATACTCAGGAAAAACTATATGTAAACAGCAGTAATCTTCAAAGAACAGTACTGGTTGCAAAACTACATGCTGCTTTCCTCAGGACTGCTGAACCAAAACAGTGTGTATGTATAGGATGAGTCTAATTTATCCCTGCTTTTATCTTGGTTTAGCTCTGACATCAGTTTAGTTAGCATTGTACTAGTACTGTAGGACTCTACTATGCCATATTTCTTTGACTATTTAGAGCAAAACTGAAGTGGAACGGAAGACTATGTAACATATATTTTGTGTTAGGAAAAGCTTACAAATGGAAGACTAAGAGGAGTTATGAAAGAACAGATCATTTGAGAATTACATATTTTGAAAAGCAGCATAATAATTTTAGAGCAGTATCGCCCAGATCTAAGTTACTATATTCTGTGGATACAGTAATCAAACCTAGGAAAGATCTACTTTCATAAATAGACAGGAATAATTTGCAGTTAGTAAGTCAAAGAACCAGAGTAAGTGGATAAAAATCTAAACACGAGGCCCAAAATGAGATAAATACCATGTCAATTTCCTTACCAAATCCTTTCTGCAAGATAGGATATTTTAAACTCATATTTCCAAAAAAGGGTTAGCTTCTTTACCTTCACAGCTAAATACATTCAACAGCTCCAAATAAAGAAAAACCACAAATCATTTAGATAGTACTTAATTCGTACCTGGAACCCACTTAATTTCCATTTCCATATCATTTTCTTTTCTTTTCTTTTCTTTCTCTTGAATAACTTGCAAGAGCTGCCTGTATTTAGCAATCTGTTCTTCATCATCCTTCTGATTTTTTTTTGTCTTCCCATCATCTTCTCCACCAACTTCATCATTACCTTAAAAAAAAAAAAATCTGATTTAATACACAGGAAAAAATTCATTTCTAGGCTGGGCATTTAGCTCAGTGGCAAGTGCCTGCCTGGCAAGTGCGAGGTCCTAAGTGTGATCCCTGGTACCAAAAAAACAAACAAAAAAATCATTTCTATTTTCAGTATTTAGAATATAGCAACTCCAATAACATTCTAAAATTGTCACATATATTACAACTAAATTATCAAAATTAGATTTAAAACTTCTGAATAAAATGAAAGATTTAAGCACTGTATATAAAAAAATCAGCTGCAATATAAGCACTGTCAGAGTAGTTTATTTGGAAATTGCCTCTTTATTGAATTAAGTCATTATTTCAAAATAACTTTCCAGTTACATAACATCCTTGGACTTCCCTACAAGCTCTAGGACAATAAAAATGGCATTCTAGCTTTCTTTTTGTCCTTTTCCATTCAGCATAGTAACTTTAAAAATGTTCTGTTCAATAAAAGGAGACTGAATATTATTGGAATGAATTTAATACATGGACTGAGCTTTCAGACAGAGGAGATAAAGAAGCTGTTTATAATATAAATCAAAGGCTACTAAGTTCTTTTTCCTATCACCATGAACAAGCATTTTTAAGGATCCTGGTTATATATGAATGATAAAAAATTAGAAATTCAATTAATATCATTGTGTGGAAAACTATTTGCACTTTCATGTCATAGTTTTAGAAAAAAATAATTACGATACAAAAGAACAATATAAAATTCATGGGCAAGATACATTAAAAAAAACCCTAATAAATCAAGTTTGTTTGTTCTACATTTCCACTGCAACTCTCCCAAGTAAAAAATCATAAATTAGGAACCTGGGTTTTAATGTAAAACACACAAACTTAATGAACTGGCTAAAAGTATCCAGAAGAGGAAAATTAAGACTTAAGTTCCTTTCTTCTATAACCTGTGGCTAACTTCGTTGGTCACCTAAAATAGCTTACGTTAAGTACGTATCTATGAAACACCAAGGTTAACACACTGTCCTGACATCTTAAAAGAAGTGATATGGAAAGAAATTTTTTGAGTAAAAATTTTTTTGTATTTTTTTTCTCCAAATGAATAAAAAATGGTTGAAGACATTCTTTCCATCCTATCACACTTTTACATTTTCACTCAAACAGCTGAAGTTCATTTTTTTCCTGTTTGTGCTCTGTGCCACAATAATAATGTTGGATAGAATTCTGTCATGTATCCTGTAATTCAATGGATAAAACATCAGGAACATATTAACAAAATGGCAATGTATTTCTTTCTATTAAAAGCTTACTTCTGAAAACATAATTAGAAGCAAGCTCTTTCCAGGTTGCGAAATTTTAGTGGTAAGTCTCTGATGGCTTATTTTAAATTGATTTTTTCCAGTACTAAAATTTTACTTTCTGAAGCTCTAAAATGTGGGCTAACTCATGTAGGCCTGTTTTTTTCCCATTTCAAGGACAATGCTATTGGAAAGCCTTATCGCTATTAAAGAGATTTTCTAAAAAACCTATTCTGATAAACAATAACTGGGAATATCTAATAAATTTAAACCATTCAAATGTACTAGTAGCATCTGTCATAGCTGCTAAATTTAAATAATCTTAACAGTAAGGTACTCTCAAATAATAATTCGGAATATCTAGTAACTCAAAAGCATATTAACATACCTACCATAGATAACAAATTACAGATGAAAATAATTTTGCAATCAGCAAATATACCAAGCATAAACAATTTGGATAATATCAAATTAAATAGCTTCTGTACAGCAAAAGAAACAACCAACAAAGACAACCTACAGCATGAAAAAAAATCTATGCTAGCTATTTCTTAGAAAGAGGGTTAATATCTAGAATAAAGAACTCAAAAGAATTAAACTCCCAAAAGAAAAGATCCAATTAAAAAACAGGCAAGTAAAATGGACACTTTTCAGAAGTACAAATGAAAAAATGTTCAACATCACTATTAGAGAAATGCAAATTAAAAAACACTGAAATTCCATCTTACTCCAGAAAGAATAGTTAACATCAAGAAATCATATAGTAACAAATGCTAGTGAGGCTGTAAGGAAAAACGAATCTTTCTGTATTATTGGTGGGAATATAAACTATTACAACCACTACAGAAACCATTAGGGAGATTTTTCAGTAAATTAAAGTAGAAATTCCATTTGTCCCAGCTATTCCCTTTCTAGGTGTCTTCTGAAAAGAGTAAAGATACCATATTACAATGATGCATACCCAGGTTTATAGCAGCACAATTCATAATTGTATTTTGGAAGCAGCCTATATGTCTGCCAATATGGACAAAGATGAATGGGTAAAGAAACTGGGATTTACACACAATATAGTACTACTTGATCACTGAATAAACTTGAGTCACTTATGCATCTTGAGACCACAATGTTAAGTGAAATAATCAGATGAGCTTAAATACCATATGGTTTCTCTTATATGGGAAACTCAAAATATAAATGAAGAGCAACAAAAAAATTAGGTAATAGGAAATAAGATAGATGAATCTCAAATGGAAGGGATTCAAGAGATGGAGAAAGGGAGGAGAAACAGAGAAAGGGGATGAGACAATTAAGATGCGTCATATACATGTACCAACTCTCCACAAAAAATGTTAACATGTATTACAAACATGTACTAATAAAAAATAAAACAAACTCTTATTGTATAAAGGGATAGGGATGTAAAACAAGTAATTTTGCAATTAATTAAGAGATGGAAGAAAAAAGCATGCTGTTTTTTGTTTTTTTTTTTGTTTTTTTTTTTTGTGTCAGGGATTGAACTCACCTCACTCTTGCCAGGCAGGTGCTGAAGAAAGCATGCTTTTTAAAGAAGACAATCAATATATTTTGAACAAAAGGCATCAATCTTTAAAGTTGCAAGGTAAAAATAGGTAAGGTAGGCCATAAGTGATGGTTCACGTCTACATTCCCAGCACTTGGGAGGCTGCATTGCTGTAAGTCTGAGGCCAGCTTGCACTACAAAGTGAGTTCAAGGCTAGCCTGATATTTATAGTTAAACCTTGTCTCAAAAACAAAACAAAACAGCTAAATACTTAATGTACATCAGTCCAATCTTTCCAACCATGAATCAGGTACTTTTCTACCTACAGAAAGAAAGGAACAGGGCATACTAATAATTAACCTGTTAATTTGCTATGTGGTAAAGTGAGTATCCAAAAGCAGCCAAGTTGAAGATCTTATTAAGAATGTACTGACAAATTAATTGTTATTTATACTACTGGTTAGCCTGTCAATGTTATTTTAAAATTGAGTGCAGTTTTCCCATGCCAAAGAACCATATTTGAAAAATGTGGGCCCAGTTTTTACAAGCATAAATGAAATACTACCTTCTTCTCATTACTTTAGACTCACAGTGAAAAAAACTACCCAGAATTTTTAAAAGAGTTCTACACTAAATGCTTACATCAGCAGACAGACAAGAAGGAAATGTAGACAATCTCCAACAAGTATGGGGGGATAAGGACATAAAAGCTACCGATAAAAGTCTATTTGACTCAGCTGTTCTGAGTCACTAAGAAATACGTGCACACTAAGAAATAAAACGTTCACTTTTTTAGAATGTTCGAATATTTAAAAAACAATAGTCATTGAGGTTTTAAAAATGTGGTCTTTTGTGCCAAATAGAACTACTATTTCAAGTTATACATTTTTAAAGGCTATGAAATACTTAAGGAATTATTAATACATGATGGTTTTATAAATATATGATGTTTGAACAAAATAAGTCAGAATGATTTAACATGGTTTTCCATTCCATTTATGAAATACTGTTGAAGATTAGTATTTTATGGAAAACTTTAAAAAATGACGCCATATCTTCACAAGTACAATAGATCAATCCAAGGATCTAAGAAAGACAAGGTTTCATGGCCCTCTGCTAACCTAAGGAAGCATTTTTAGGACTATTTAATTAGCTATTTGGCCATAAAAACACTACATTATGCAAGAAAACTCAAAAAGAACATTATGAAAAATGTTAAGCTATATGTTAAGAAAATTTCCTATTTGAACTTCTTATTCTTAATTTTTTATAGTTGGGAATTGTATTAGATAAAATGAAGACACTAGATGGGTAATACCAACTAAATACTGACATGAAGTTACGACTAAGCAACTGCATTTCCAAAGAGATCTAATAGAAGAAAAAATATTATTTCTTTGGTTCTATTTTTATGAGTTATTTTAAGTAAACATCATATACAATCTAAAACTAAACCATTAATCATTTCTAGTATCAAAAAAGAAACTAAAAAATGAGGATAATCTTAGTTTTCTATTTCCACTAAACAAATTAAGGTACTTCAGACTAACCTTTTTACTAAAAACCTATCAGGCCAGAAAAAGCATGTTTTTCAAAGAACTGACAAGTTAGCAAAGAACTACTATATCAAAATAAAAGACGGGAATACTAGAGGGATGACCCCTTTGTTAAAGACCCACTTTATCCTGACTGTATCTCCTACTTCCTGAATTACAGAATATCAGCTATGAAACTCAACTGCTATTTTGGCAGCCTTTCTGGCAAAGAAAGCAAAACCTAAAGGCCCACAGAAGGAGGGAATTTCAACTAGTATCTGTGTCCACACTAAGCAGAGACTCAAGAGATGCTTTTAGAGAAAGATCAAGCCAGAGGAAACTAGGCCTTGTGTCTACCTGAATCACCTGTGAGAGAATGTCAAGCCTTTAAAGTAATATGGTCCTAGACTATTTTCTAGGATCCACAGATGGACACATTCTTTCCACCCACCCTACGCATCCCCTTGCATATTCTCTTGGACTGAAAGCAGGTCACTATCTTAGTAATACTACCCAACCTTGCCCCTACACACTCCAGAAAAATGATGACAGGTGCCAGATCTCCCCTCACTCCCAACCCTCAGGGCAATCTTCTTAATCTGGAATCCAGGGATGCCACAACTATCTTTATAGGGTGGGCCTGACTACCTGCAACTACTTTGCAAAATCTAGGTCCCCATTTATATAAAGCTACAATAATCAGATTCTCGACAGACTTAGGGTCCCTTGAAAATCAGAAATGATCATTCTAGACAAAACAACACCTGGATAGGTATGGAATGCTGAGTATGGTCTGGGGAGGACTCCAGTGGCAATGGGCTCTTCTGGCCACCAAGACCAGAAGAAGAGAAGCAGAGAAAGGAGGTACCTTCTCTAGTGTTCTGTCCAGGTGGTCTCTGGTAGAGATAAAAAGTAGATTTATCCAATCATGAAATCCATCTTCAGCCATTCACTTTGAAATAGCCCTCTTTAAAAGTCAAGCACAGTTTACACTAACTGCATAACGTGTCCATGTTTGTTTGGATATGAACACAGATTGTCCTCCCTTAAACCTCCCAATAATGCAATACCTCAGAACAATCTGAAGTACTGGCTTTACACTCCCAGGAAATGACAGGCAGATGATCTAGAGACAAGGGGTTAATAAAGTCTCATGGCACCCAGGGTTAGGACAGCTCTGGGGTTCTGGGCAGCCAGGTCACCTCTCAAGGCTGGCAGTGGGTTCAGTCATGCCCTCTGCATGAGCTCTTGGCTTTTGTCCTCATTCTTCATTTTCCTTTTGACTTTTGGAGGTCACATGGTCTAGTGTTCTTCCTCTTCCAATGAAGAAGCAAGGTCCAGAAACTTGGAAAAATTTTCTACAGTCACGTGGGGTATTGGACATAGGATAATTACCAGAAGTTCCCATCAGGACTTTTCCCACTGGGATCTGTCCCCTTTTTCCTCTGAGAAGTGCAGTCTACTTTTTTTTCTTTCTTTCTCTTTGCTTCCCTTCACTTCCCTTCTCTTTCTTGCCTTCCTGTCTTTTTTTTTCCCTTTTCTTTCAGTTCCATTCATCTTCGGTTTTCTGAACCTCTGATACCATAAACCAATGGGGCAAAGTCATATGGTCCTAAACTAAAATAAATTAAAAGTTCTATCACAAAAGATACTCTCTTCTCAAATATTAAAACACACAAAGTTAACCAGGTATACAACTAAATGAGAGAGAAACCAATCTGAAAACATGCAATACTGAAATTATCAGAGACTATAAAAGCAAGAGTGGTAGTGCAGAACTGTAATTCCAGCACTCTGAGAGGCTGAGGCAGGAGAATCACAAATTTGAATCCAGTCTGGGGAACTTACCAAAACACTATCTTAAAATCTAAAAAAACAACAACCAAAAAAACTACAATACTGCAAAATGAAAATAATAAAAAAAACAAAACTATAAAATTTTGATTTATAGGAATAAAAGAATGTGTTGAAGCTTTCTGTGGTGAATATAAAAACGTAAAAAAACAAAGTGGTACTTGATAGGATTATTTCCAAAAGATGAGAAGTATAAAACAAAAAGAGGCCTTTATTCTGAGAACATGGAGAGAGATGACCGGCACCCCCCACTGCTGGAGTCTGGTGATTTCTCCAGCGGACACGTGGCGTGGGGGGTATGTAAGTAGCCTCGGTTTGGGGTGGAACCTAAGGGGGCATCAGGGATGCATGGGTAGCCCATTGGTCCTAGGATTCGTGCCACAGGTAAATTCCCAGGGGCAGGGAAGACAGCGTCACAGGTAAATTCCTAGGGGCAGGGGAGATAGGGGCTTCCTGGTTCCGGTTGAGGTTTTCCTGGCTAGAGTCCTTTCTGGGCCAAAACCCTTTTAGTACTTTTGACATGAAAAATAGCCCAACAGGATTTCCAGAAATGAAATATGCAACAAACAAGGTTAAAAACTGAATGGAGGTGGGCATTTTGGAGTATACCTATAATTACAGTTACATAGGAAGCTGAGACAGGAGGATCACAAGTTTAAAGCCAGCTTATGAAAATAAAAAAAGGTCAGAAATGTAGCTCAGTGGTAGACTGCTTGCCTAGCAAGTATATGTAACATCCTGTGCTCATGCCCAGTGCCTCAAAAATAAACTCAATTGACAGGTCATTAGCAGATTCGACATTGCTGAAAAGACAACTAGTAAACTAGAAGATGAAAAATATCCAGAATGCAGTACAGAGAGATAAAAATATATAAGAGATAGGGAAGATACATGAAAAGATCTAACATGTATTTAATTGTAGTCCTGGAAGGATAGAAAAGTAACTACCTATGGCTAAGATTACTCCAGAAAACTGATGATGAAAGATACCACTCTACAAATTCAAGAAACCCAAGACTCCAAACTTAATAAATAAAGTGAAATCTATTTTTAGAAACATCACTGAAAAATATGCTCCTATTTTAAATATTTAATGGTTTTAACTGCAATTTGAGGTAAGTTGTTACTTCTTTCCCCATTCCCTCGGGCAATGATTGTGAACCTATGGCATTTATACAGCAGACTGTTATCAGTACAAGTTCTAAAAGGTTTGCCATCACTAACCTAGGGTATTAACAAACGACATATTTCCTATTTAAAAATCTAGTTGTTTCAAGGTTGTGTTTGATAGGTGGTGCCAGGGATAAGTCACAGAGATTAAAAATGAAGCAAAAACTTTAAAAGCAGTTAAAGAAAAAAAATTTCAAACAACCTTCAAGAGGTTTTTAAGTTACAAAGCTGATTTCTTAAAAATAATGAAGTCAAAAGCCAAAAAATCTGCATGATTTATCTGTTTTTGAGATATGTATTCACTGCATAGCCATGTTGGCCTGGAATTCGCAATCCTCCTCCCAAGTGTTGGGATTACAGATGTGTGCCTAGCTACATGATTATCTTTTAAAAAAGTTACTACTTAAGACTACCTGCTACTGTTGCTGCTGCTGCTACTAATATATGGTGTTTACTATGTTCCAGCACTGCTTGCTTCCTTCCTTTTTTTACTTTCTTCTTTGTATTTATGTTAGTTACTGGGGTTTGAACTCAGGGTCTTCACACTGAGCTACATCCTCTATCCTTTAAAAAAATTTTTTTTAAGACAGGGAATATAGGAATTCATTTTATTAATATTATTAACGTGTAGTGGTAGAAAGAAATACTAACTAGAAAGTTTTTACAAATGACAAAGTAAGGATACTTTCATACAAACTAAGCCTCAAGAGAGTTTGATTCCGGAAGATACTACAGAAAATTTTCAAGGATATACTTGAAGCAGAAGGAAAATGATCCCAGATAGAGGTCTGATATTTAGAAAGGAATGAAGAGCAAAGAAAGCAGTGAAAATGAAGGAAAATTTAAACAACGACATTATAAAACTGTAATACTGCATTCTGTAGGATGTAGCTAGAATTACATACACAGTTATAGCATAAAAGTTGTTTAAAAACTGTATTATCCAGGATGGTAAAATACTATTGCCTTCCAACATTAGAAAGTTCAAGAAGCAAATTTTATTTCTAGGACAGTTTTAGAAATGGAAAGTCTACTTTCTAAACTACTTGAGAAAAAAAGAGTGTAAATAAATATTTAATCAATCTAAAAGAAGCTCCTGTTTTAAAGGGGGAGCTTTTTAAAAAGAAACTTTGTGACTACATGAATTGGGCAAAGTCTAAAAGGTAAGGTTTTTTTGTTAGGTCAGGTTTTAAAAAATGTTTATAACTAAAGAAATTCAGGCTAAGAAAACACTAAAAACTTTTCCAGACACTATAGAAACTTAAGAATTAGTTTGGTCTCCCCTTTAAATTACTGCCAAAGGTGCTCTTCCATTAATGAGTCACTAAATGCTTAACAAGTACCTTGCAGGTCCTCTTCTATCACCTCTTCATCTTCACTAGAGGAAGCTAAGTAGGCTTGAAAATCCATGTCCAAAAGTTCTTCCTTTTTAAATTTTCTATTGAGTGTTGTGATTCTTTCATGATCAGTCTCATCCCAAGTGATCTCCACCTTTCACCAATGAGTAAGAAAAAAACAAAACAAAAAGTCCAAAAATGGTATCATCAAAAGTTCAAACTGGTTAAAGAATATATGTTGTTAATTTGGAATTTAACAGTAAGTTCAAAAATTTCAGACATTTAAACAAGTACATGAATGACATGCTTAACAGTTTTCTACTTGTGGGAAAAAAATCATTTTTATTAACTTGTATCTTCTTCCTCCTAATTTCTGTTACATGTAGTACATTCCATTAATGGGACTATAAATCGGTGTGTGGCTTAAGTGTATACAAAAAAGCACTGATGAAAAAGTTAACATTATGAACAACTGGTAAAAACATGGCTTTTTTTTTTTTAAAAACTTGAAGTTCTAAGATGATGGGAAATCCACAAACCATGAGATCTGTTGATTAAGCAACATAATCTCAGTGGGGTCCGTTTTCCAAAAAAGATTAAGCATCACTGATGAGAAAGGTTTCTATTGGCTGGAAGTATAGTAAAGCCCCGCTAGACACAAATTCATCTGTAACGTGAATAGAGTAGTGACTGGCTCTTGCCTCTACTCACACCTATCCAACACAGTATGGGTCCCCTATCTTTCCCCCAAGCAACTTTCTCTTATGAGGCAAAAAAATATGGGCTAATTAACCAAGGAAACTTTAAAATTGTTGTCATGGACACAGAAGTTCTAGTTAGCCACAGGATTCAAAATTATTCCTATTCTGACAATTAAGTCTGAGTTTATGTCCACCAAACTGTTACTAAAATTCAGACAGATATTGATAGTACCGTCAGGATTCAGAACTGATGGCTAGACATGCTGGATAAGGCTATTGTTAGTCTTGAAAATAACATGCTCTTGCATTTTGTAATTCTTTTGAATTTCATTTACTCCACAATGGTGGGGTTTTACTAATCAACACTACAAAGCATCCTCCACAGCACGGCAGTGGGCAAACATTGTGTCTCTTTCTGCCACCAGCCTCTTGGAAGTACACAGTGCTAAGTCACACAGGAAAGGCAAAGGGACACCAGAGTAGCTGCTTCACAGTACAGCTGTGAATAGATATTTAAGGTGAGGAGGAGGAAAATCAGTAAGCTAAGTAACAAACCATTTCAATATACAAAAACCTTCTGAGTATCTTTAACCATTAATGGGACAACTACTGGTTATAATTCTATTTTTATTGTTTTTAAAACTGTTGATTGTATTTTTAGAAAAATATGGTATTTTAAATTTTCACTATTTTAACTGCTACTTGAGGTAATATACTACTTTCTTCTCCCTATCCCCTAGAATACTAATAACTGATATATTGCCTAATTAATAATATAGCTGCTTGGATTGTGTTTTGTTTGTTTTGTGGTGGTACTGGGACCAAACCCAAGGCCTTGTGCAAGCTAGGACAGGGCTCTACTAGAGAGCTATATCATCAACTCCTAAGACTACTAAAAGTGTTAGTAATCCAGTTAGTAAGAGTTAGTAAGACAGAAAAAAGAAACATTAGGAAGCAACTGACTGAAACTGACTTAGAAGCACAGAAAGAATCTGAAAATAGACTCATACACATGTAGTAGACAAGGCAAACACACGTTTCATTTCTATTTGTGCGTGAATATTTTGAATACTTTCTAAGGATGCTATAAATAAATAATATATAAAAGTCTCTTGTTAAAGCAATGGAAGCTGGCATGGTGATGCACATTTGTAAACCCAGCATTTAGGAGGCTGAGGCAGGAGGATTGTTAAAAATTTGAGACTAACCTAGACTACAAAGTGAGCTTAAGGCCAGCACAAACTGCATAGCAAGACCCTGTCTCAAAAAAAAAAACAACAACAACAACAACAACAAAAAAACGGCAATGGAGTCCACCAAAAATAATAGTGAGATACCGTTGATGTTCCCATTGCAGCAGATGTGAAATATTTTGGTTTATATGCTGTTAAATCCACTTCCAAGGCTACATCCTTCGGCTCATCATCAAAAGTAATATCATCTGGTATAAACCTACAACACAAACAAAATTTAGAGCTTAGATTCTCAACTAATTAGCTGTATTATATACATACATGCTATGTAAAATTTCTAGTGAACATACATGTAGAAGAGGAAAATGTTAGAAGTAACCATGACACAAAATTTCTGAAATTCTTAAGCTGTAAGTCTGAATTTCTACTAAATTTGTAAAAATGTTTTATTGATAGACATTTAGCTTAAGAGCCAGTTAATGTAAGTGAAGTACAAGCACATGTGGATCCATCATGTTTCAAAAAGATCCAAACTTCTAATAGTGCAGTGACTGGTCTGCTCTATGTTATTCTGAAGATCAAACAGAATGATTAATGGGTAATGTGTTCTGAATATAAAGTATTAAACACATGATGTGTCACTGGAAATAAAGACAAAATGTTGATTCAAGACCCAAAGCCCTCAATATTATCTTACAATTTCACTTCAAAAATAACTAGCTTTTATAAAGTAGTCACTGTAATTATCAGTTATTAGGCAATAGGCGGGAAAAGGGAGAAAAGTAATGCACCAAATAATCTATAGTTATAGTATCTAAATTTTATAATTTATGTACGGGATTGTTTACACACACCCATACACATAAAAGGCAGAGTCTATAAAGTGAGTTTTGGCTAGCATTCTGGGGGAGCTGAGGCAGGAAGATTACAAGTTTGAACTTGGCTTGGGCGAACTGGTGAGAATCTATCTCAAAATTTTAAAAAGGTGCTAACGATCTAGTTTTGTGGGGCTGGGGATTTAGCTCAGCGGCATAAGCACATGCATGACAAGTGCTGGATCTTGAGTTTGATCCCTGGTACCAAAAAAACCCCAAAAACAAACAAACAAAAAATCAGATCTAGTTTTGTACAAAAGATTTAGCTTTGTGCAAAGGCCCTGAATTCAATCACCTATTCCGAAAAAAACAAAAAAAATTTTTTTTTTGGGAGGGTGGGGGCAAACAGCTAAGCTTGTATCTTACCACTGTCCAGATTAAACTTTTGTTGCACAGATTTAGTGTATTATAATAACTATATTTGTATAATAAATTATACTAAAATATATATATCTATATATATAGTGGTACCGGGGATTGAACCCAATGTCTTTACACTGAGTTACATCCCTATCTCTTTTTTATTTTTTATTTTGTAACAGGGTCTGCTAAGTCACCTAAGTTATCCAGGCTGGGCTCAAACACGCAGTCTTCTTGCTTCAGTCTTGCAGAGTGTAGGGATAATAGCATGTGCCACCACGCTGAGACAAGAGATCAATATTTTTTGTTTTTGGTTTTCTTGAGACAGAGTCCCCCTATGTAGTTCTGGCTGGCTTTGAATTCATTATATAGCCCATGCTGGCTTTGATCTTGCAATAATCTTCCTGACTCAGCCTCCTGAGTGCTGGGATTATAGGCATACCATTATGCTTGACTGTTTTTCATGTTTTTGAGATGAGATTTTGCTTTGCAGTTCAGGTTGGTCTTAAACTCTCTAGGTAGCCCAGGAGGTTTTAAACTCACAGTGATCCTTCTGTCTCTCAAGTGCTGGGATTACATGCCTGCACAACTGTGCCTGGTGAAATCAGTCTTTTTAAATGAAATCCAATTGGATTGCTTTTATACATATTTTGGGGAAGATTTTTTAAAAAAACATTTCTTTAGATAACTAGATGGCAGCAGAAATTCCAATTTTTTTTCTCAACGTTATATATGACAAAGAAAAACAAGGAATGTAAAATTTAAAAATTTCCCATAGGTACCTTACTTTCTATGTATCACAAAACTTATTCTAACACTGTGTGGAAATGTCCCAAGAAAGGAAACAGAACAAAATGATGCTAAAAAGAAATCAGCATGAATTCATAGTCCCCTAAGTATTTGCCATCCTAATATATTTGGTAAATAAACATTTAGAACAAGAATCTACTATTGAAACTGTGAACAAAAAAGAGGGAAACAGCTTGTTTAATCATATCATGTCATCCTTGCTAAGCATGCTAATAAACTTATCTCAAATTATAAATTGCCTTTTTATTTTTCCTACCAGCCTGAATACTGGAAGGATGATAAGGATAATGATTCTGAAATGGTGCATCTTTTCCTGAAATATATCACTTTGAGCACAAAGTCCCTAACCTAGATCGAACAAAGGTATTTCTATTCTATGTCACAGTACAATGGTTCCCTGCAGTCAAAAGGACTAGTATCAAAATAAAAGGATACAGTAGTTCTGCTTCCTGTTTTCTTGGAACTCACATTTACAACAATCTAAGGTTTTTCTGCTCTGGGTCAGTGAAGACTAAACATTTGGTGAAAATAACGCTCAGGTCTGAAGACAATGGCAGCACTACGTTCACTCACTGAAACACTACTTGGATCCTTACTGTTTATGAGAACGGCTGTTATGATGGCAATGTTCTACACCTGCTTGTCCAAAATGTGACCATTAATTACCTGAAATGACTAGTCTGAGAAAATAAATTTTAAGTTTTATTTCATTTTATGAAACCAAATGTCCACATATTATTAGTAGCTACTGTATTAGAAGCACAGATCTAGACATACCAACCCATTAGCAAATTACTGTCTCTTTATCAATGCCATTTTTTAAAGCTACTTCACCCAGCTTCTTGAGCTAAAATACTGCTACAAGAAAATATTACTGTATATCACTTATTATCACTGCACAACACAGTTATGCAGTTAGTTTCAAACAACATACATATTGGAATGTTTCACACATAATACTTTAGAATTTTCTAGTTCATTTTCCTTCTTAGGAGTGATGTTCTACATGCCAGTTCTTCCAAAGCAAATGTTCTTGGAATATAAAACAATAAAGAGCACTAAATGTTCAAATATTTTACATATTTGGGTTAAGATTCAACTGTTAAGTCACACATATACCTTAGATCTATGAAAGAACAACTACTTTCGAATTCCAGGCCATCACAATCTTCATAAATTTTACTTGCTGTTTCTGGAGAATCACAATCCACTACTGCATAATAGTATTTCAGTCGTTTGAATTGATAATCTCTCAGTTTTTCTCTAGAGGTCCTACAGGGGAGGAAAATTAATTAACACTAGATGTAATCACTTTTTAAAAAAATATACTTGAAGCTGGCCTTTATTCCAAGCAATCTTTACTTTATGACTTTGCCTTTATGATTATATTATACTTAAAGTTCAAATTATTATTCTGACAAGATAGAGATTTTTCGTATTTGGATTGAAACTTATCTAGAAATGGAGTGGAAGAATTATATAAACCTATCTGTAACTGTATTTCTTAGAAAAGTTATTTATTTTTTTTGTTTGTTTGTTTTGCTATACCATAAAACTTCTAGATTAGTTTATTATAGTAAAAAATATGTTTGAAAAATATTAGCTCTAATGAGAAAGAAATTCCTATCTTGCAAAAATGTTTTCTCCATATTCAAGTCCAAACTGTTTTACGTTTAATTCCATTTAACTACAACATACTCTTTTGACTGTTTTCATCTGCCTCTCCTGCCAACCATCTACTTAATCACCATTTTTATTAAATGGACATACGGCTCCATCTAGTGGTTTAAAAACTATCTTAAATTCTTTTAATACATACTATAATTCTTTTATTTTTCTATTTAATTCTCAAGTAAGAAAAATGGTACAATTTGAAAATTATACAGACTTTTGGTACTATTTATATGGAATGTAACATCTCAAAAATAAAACATTAATTCAGAGTAATGATAAAAAAACTAAATCAATTTATCATGAAATATTTGGCAAAAACTATAATTATTTTCAAGAATACATAAATGTATACACAAAACACTGCTGGAATAGTATGCCACTTCTGACAGACTATAATCTGTTTTGCAACCTATCTGACCCATAAATGATAACAGTGTAAACTTTAGTCCTATTAAGGTAACTAGGATTCTGAACAAATACATGAATTTATGAGATTTAGTTTCAAGTTCTACAATGACTCCATACCAGTCCTTTTCAGGAGCATCTTCAGGAATGCTTAATAATTCTACTGGTCCTTGAACTTGCTCTTCCTTCATCCTCTCTTTTCCAAACTCTGAAGGATATATCTAAAGATACAACAAAATACGACAGATACAACGTAAACATTTCTTTTCAGATGATACCTAGTCTTGTCATGGTCAGAGACTCATAGGAGCCACAACTTCAATCCACAAAAACAATTCTCTCCAAACTCATTACAGGAAGGTAAAGCATTCTGAGGAATTTTTCTTTAAAACAAGTTACATTATCTACAGAATAACAGATCTTGAGCATGAGAGCAAAAATAGAGTATGTCTTCCACATATCACATGGAACAAGATGGTTTTGGTATTCAAGAGAAAAATTAAAAAAGCAAAATAAGATGCTCAACACAAGGAAGTTTCAATGTGAATACAGAGAAAAATAGACTGGATTAAACAGTTTACATGAATTTTATAAAAATAACTACAGAAATGTACAAAACATAATGAACAAAACCAATTTTATAATATCCAATTTACCTCTAAGTGTTATTATTTACCCAATGCTTTCTTTTGGAAGAAATTCTTCAAACAGTAAAGAACAAAACTGATAACAGTCTTACCATATGAGTGAGAGAAACTGGGACTCTTCCACGGTCTAGGAGACTCCAACAGAGGACATTCTGGGACTGGGCAGACTTGCGGGAACAGGGCGCTGCAGTGACTTCAGTCACGTATCCCCCTCTCAAGCGGGATTGGTGAGCAGTGCCTAGCCTACATGACGCTACTGGCTGAGACCCAGTAGGCTAGCACAACCCAGGTCCCAGCACCTGAAGGTAGATTGACCTGGAGGGGCGGGCCCCACATAGGCTGCCTGGTCTGCAACTTCCTGGTGCACTGCGGTGGGCGGGAACACCTAGCCGGCACAATTCAATCAGACTGTGGCCGACAGGAAAGGAAGCTGGGCCTCCTATATATGCTTGCATATATAAGGAACACAGAATATGGGAAGAGGCAGCAACAAGAAAGGGTCCTCGGCTCCCAATCCTGAGAAAGAGGCAATAGCAGACACAGCACCAATAGATATAAAGCGCTATCTCCAGAGCCTCACAGACAAGTTCAGGAATGAAGTTATTAATGACCTGAAGCTAGACATAAGCAGAATAGTTACAGAAATGCTAAGCACCACCCAAGAAAAAACAGATGGTGGAGTGGAAGAACAGAAAAAGAGGGGAGAATTGTTTGATGGAGAAAATAGAGAAAGCATAGAATACGTGAAGCAGGTTCAAAGAGATTACCAGGAAACTAAAAACTCTATTGAAACTGGCATAACAGCTTAAAAGAAACTAAGGACAGATTATCTGAACTGGAGGGCAGATTTGTAATATGGGAGCATGAAATGAAAAACTTCTTAAAAATAACAAAGAAACAGCAATAATACAAGGACTAGAAGATGATAAGAGGATCTATAACTTAAGAATTAAGAACATAAAAGAAGTAGGGACACAAACAAATGAACTACAAAAGCTACTCACAGAAATAATCCAGGAGAATTTTCCTAATTTAGCAAAAGGTAAAGATACTCAGTTGTATGAAGCATACAGGACCCCAGCCACCTACAACCCAAACAGAGCAACACCCAGGCATATAATAATTAAAATTCCAGAAATCTAATACAAGAACAGAATATTAAAAGCCGTCAGAGACAAAAAAAGATCACTTATAAGGGAACACCCATCAGAATTACAGCAGATTTCTCGGCACAAACCATCAGGGTGGGGGGAAATAATTCAAGCTTTGAAAGATAATAATCTCCAGCCAAGATTGATATATCCTGCACAACTATCCCTGGAAATTGATGGAAAAACAAGGTGCTTCCAGGATAAAGAGGAACTAGGGGAATATGCAACCCCCAATTCAACTCTACAGAGAATACTGCAGGATATTCTAAAAAAGAAAAATACGAAGAATCCAGAAATAGTGGCAGAGAGGCCACAATGAATGGAGCAGAAAACAAAATGAAGAAGACAAACTGACAACTAATGACAGAAAAAGAGCTCAACAGAAATGAGGCAGAGAAGGTTGGATGAAATTTTGGAGCTATTTTGGAGAAATGACATCTTAATAGGTAATACTGATTTAGTATCATCTTGTTTTGAAGTCTCATCAAGCTTTTGTTCTTCTGTCTCCATTGGTCTAAATAGGTTGTATCTTATTGGATTTTATTATGTATGATAGTATAAGCAAAAACTTTTATAGACAAGGAGATTATACAGAAACCATTGTTCATTTTCTGTTAGTTGATTCTAAATACCCTGTAATACTGTCATTTTCTTAAATGGTTTTACATTGTTTTCATATATTTGATGCTACAGTATATGAAGTTATACTCAAAAATTTCAAGGAAAGAGACAATATGGTAACTACTTTTATGTCGGGATTATCTTGTGGTGAAACACTATTTTACTTAAATGGTTATGTTTTGATCTGCACTGTTTTGCTGTTATGCCCTCTTTTATCTCAATCTCCATTTTATCATTTACTTTTTTATTTTTATCCTTTTAATTAAGGGAAAAATAAATAAAAAAATAGCAGGATATATTATAGTAACCCACTTTGACTTTCCATTATCTTGATTTAAAACCCTGTATTGCTCTCACCATCTTGTTTTGACTGATGTCCCTCTATTCTGTTTTGCTTGATAGTACCAGGTTCAAAAGTTTAGGCAACAGCTGTAAAGATAGTGGGATTCACTATGATGCCCATTCTGGTTGACTATTATCTGCTTTTGTCTCCAATGTTTTGGTTTTGCCGGTTTTGTTCTTTACTGTTTTGTTCAATTTTATTATAACTGTGATATAGGCAATTCTATTAGAGATAGCAGGAGGCATTATGGTAACCATTGTTGATCACCTTGTATTATGCTTTTACATTATCTATTATGGCCACCCTTTTGATTTGACTGACTCTGTTCTGTTATGTCACATTTGGTTCTTCTCTCTTCCAAAAAAGTAATAAGAACTGTGGGAGCAACAAGACCCAAAATGTGTAATTGTCATTGTACAAAAGAGAGGAAAAGAAAGTGCTCTAAACGATATAACTGCATGTATATTTAAGTGTATAAGATAGATAATGATATTACTGAGTTTTGTTGGATCACTGAACAGAACTGTTTGCAGTCTCACTGTTGGAATGTCCACTTTATAAGCTTTAATTTTGTAACTTGAACAATTATTTCTAAGATAACAATATGTAATCCATTAACTAGTGATTTCCTACTGTTTATTTTTTTCTGTAGATCCGTATAACTTGTACCCTTTCTCAGCTTTTTTTTTCTCCTTAAATAAAACTAAAAAAAAAAATAAACAGTCTTACCATATTAATTAGGTAGTCTTACTATCTAAAAAAGGATTCACTTACTGGGAGCTGGCATTTTTTTTTTTGTCTTTTTCCTTTTTATCGGTACCAGGGATCGAACTCATGACTGCCTGCTTGCAAGGCAGGCGCTTATGCCAATGAGCTAAATCCCCAGCCCTGGAGCTGGCATTTTTAATCTTGGCTACTTTGAGAGTCAAGAAATATGATTATATTAACTTAACATCGTTTGATACCACTGAGCTTAATATATATTTGTTAATATGTAATTTTGTTAATATATAACTACATATGTAATATGTAATTTTTGAGTTGTAGGAAATAGTCGATTTATCAACAAGATTTGAATTTTTCTTACTAATGTTGAATTAAGTTTTAAATACATGTAGTCACAAGTATTCCTTTTTTTTCTTTTTCTAGATCTAGAAACTACCATCTCCTAAAACATAAAAATTAACAAAATATACTTCCTTTTTATCCTGTCTCTGTGATTTGATTTTTTTTAGATATACAAAATACAAAAATTTCATCATAGGAACTTTGTACCTGTACATGATATACTTTGATTTACTTTTCCTAAAACCCTCTCCCCCTTTCAACCTATCTTTCCCTCTTTATTCGTTTCTATTTCATCTTTTAAAAATCTTTTTCTTCCCTTTTTTCTTTCTTCCTTCCCCCTTTACCCCACCCTAGTTTCTCTTTCCTTTTGAACAACTTCTTTTTTTTTGTCTTTTTCTTTTTTATTGGTACCAGGGATCGAACTCACAACTGCCTGCTTGCAAGGCAGGCGCTTATGCCGCTGAGCTAAACCCCCAGCGCCTCCTTTAGAACAATTTCTTTTCATGATATTGATTTTACATTTTGGTCTTTATTTATTCTTTTAGTTTCTCACACCAGGGAGAAAATGTGTTGTTTGCACATGTATCTGATTTATTTCACTTAGAGTATGGTCGCAAGTTACACCCATTTATATAGAAAATGTCTCAAATTTATCCTTTTTTATGGCCAAGTAGTACTCAATTATATTAAAAAATGTAGTTTGATTTTTAACTTTCCTTTTTTTTAAATTCCATTCTGCCATGTATCCTGGGATATTATAACATGAAAATATGAACCAAGTTTCCTATCCAATGATTTGCCCATTTCTCCCAACATATTCAAACTTATTTTAATCTAAATTATATGAACTTGTGCATCTATTCTGTCCAAATTTACACCAAATGTGTGAACTCTCAAATCATTATAAAATAGTGGTATGGTAATTCTTTTTTTTATTGGCATGATTTCTCAAAGAGGTACTAGGTATTTTGGGGTGGTTTTTTTTGGATGATTATTATTCTTTTCATAAAATTTTATTCAACTGGAATTTTGATCAAAATTATAACTGAACTGCAGAACTGACTTTTTTTTGGGTATTGGGAACTGAACTCAGGACCTTGTCCTAGGCAGATGCTGTGCTGCCACTGCGCTATATTCCCAGCCCAAAATTGGCATTTAAAAATATTTAAAAAAAGAATACTAATAATCAGGAGCTGTTTCAAGCAGTAAACTGAATACGTGTGAGCTCCTTTTACCCCCTACAGTCACCACTGGAATAACACTACTATATCTACTTGTCAAACTAGAAAATACATTTGAGAGATTATTAAAAAGTACCCCAAATCACATAAAACTTAAAAGAATCAACATTCGGACACAAGGCTATCACAAGGCAAAGCCTGAATTCTATTCCTTTTTTGATGCTACTGGGGATTTGAACCCAGGGCTTTGCACATGTTAGAAAAGCACTCCCCCTATAAGCTACACTCCCACTACCCCATAACAAAGTGGGGGTATGAATTCTTAATCAACATGCTGTCCTGAAATATGGTGTCCCAAAATTTATTTTTTCAAATTTATTGACTGTTATGATTTACTTCACATAGAACACATGTATTTACTATGGTAATTTCCAAGAATTTTTATTGGCAGTATAAGTAGGATTTTTTTCCTAATTTGTTAATGCTAGTAAAAGGTTATGCAATTTATTTTTAATATTTAACTTATACCTTGTCTTTTACCGAGTTTGTTTATTTAGGTTTTCAAGATGGGCATAATCATATTACACATCATAAGAATTTTATCTCCTTTCTAACACCATACCTACTAAATCAGTTTCATATCCAATGGCAGTGAACAATTTCCAGATTATTTTCTTTAGAAAGGAAAGTATTTATAGTTTTAAGACATTTTAAAAAAAGGTTAGGTGTAACTTTAGAAACATTTCCTTCAAAATGAAATCAATTCTCACCTTTACAGAAAATATAACACCTCCTTTAGGCTTAAATGAGTTGAACAGAGCCAGTAAATCTTTTGCCTTTAATCTATCCCAGTCCATGTTGCAAACTGCCAATCGACGTGTAATCTGAGAAAGAAAAGAAATTACATATTATAAAATCTGTATCACTTTCAATTCTTAAAAAAATATTCAAAACTGTAATCCTTCTTTCCCCAAATTCTGATGTTACCAGTGCAGTATTTACCTAGGGGGTTTCAGTATGTAAGAGAATGAGTCAAATAATAGTAAACTGTAACAGATAAACACTTTCATTTGGAGTTAGCTGCTGAATCAGAATGTGATCATAAAATGACTTTTTAACTCTGTTAACTAAGCTAGCTATTCTGCCACCCATGCATGAGCAGGACAGTTATGTTAGCCCATAGCCTTTCCCTTAGGTACAAGAGGAACAGAAATATAAACTGCTAGCCACAACAAACTCTTTCTGAAAAGGTCAAGTAACTTATTTACGTAGAACTTCCTTATTTGTTTGGGCAGATATCATCTAACTTAATGAACATAATAAATATCACAAACTTTTAAACAGAATCATCAAGATTATTACTAGGAGCTAAAGATGTAGTGGCTCAGTAGTAAAGCACCCGGGTGTGATATCCTGGGCTGTATCTCCAGTCTTGTCCCTTCAAATAAGTAAATAAGGGTAGCAAAAACTTTACTAATACCAATACTATTTTTTCTTTTGGTAGTGCTGGGGATCAGATCCAGGACCTCTTGCATGCTGAGCAAGTACCACTAAGCTACATATACCCTTAGCCCCTCCCCAAGCCTACCACCCACAAAAACTAATTGTGCTATATTATTAACATGTAATCTTGAAAATGTTACCTCATCAGCTCGAGGAGCATCTTTATCTAATTCTCTCCAAGCATGTTCAAAACCAGGTTCTTCTGGAAATAAATCTGCCAAGTCATCTTCATCTTCAGAACTAGTTTCTACATTTCCTTTACCCCTTGCAAGATCAGGGCCACTGTCACTTTCATCCTCCTCCTCACTGTCATCTTCTTCATCTTCACTTCCATCATCAGCTGAAGCTCCACTGCCACCTGTGATTTCATCTTCAGATTTCTCATCACTTCCTATTTCATCAGCACTGTCTGAATCTTCCTCTAGAGCGTCTTTGTCAGACACGCTACCATCACTATCTCTTGCTTTTAAGACCAGAATCTCTGAAACATGTTAAAGGGAGAAATATACACACTCAAATACACTGAATTTAAATTGTGACATTAATAACTTCTATGATGCAGAGTAAAGTATAAATTCAGTAATCAGTGATGAGGTATTTGATATGGGAAACCGGAGTTTTAGAAGTGTCAAAGGTGAAAGTACTGGCTTCATGAGCCAGCAGGCCAGATGGAAAACTGGAAAATAACTAGTTTACAGTATTTAGCTCAGTTCTGAACTCAAGTTCTGAACTCAAAGTGCCTTTGAGTCATCTCAAAAGGAAACATTAACAAGGGTGTTGGCAAAAAGATACAGCTCAAAGAAATGTGGGTTGAAGAAAATTTGACTTGTCTATACAGAAGCTGTGATATGGATGATATCACCTATCCAGACAAATAATAATAGGGACTTTTTTGCTAATTCTTCATCTTAACTTCAACTTAACTGTTAGAGTTAGCAGTATACCAACAGTCCAAATTGCTTTTATTTAAAAATGATTTTTTAAAATCTTCATAATCCCGAAAGGACTCATTTCCTATTTCTAAGAACAATCATACCTTCTATCTACTGTATGTGTGTGTATATCTTATCCTATATATTTTATTTCAGTTGATGCTTCTGCTTCCTCCAAGCTCTAACTTTGGAGAATTAAAAAGCAAATTTAAAAGTTTATGGTTTAACATGAAATTTAGTTCTCTTCATCCTATCCTCATAATATTTATTTATTGATCACATATTTCTTTACTATTAAATACAAAGCACTGAGTTAAGTGAAAGTGAAAAATAGTTTGTAACATGACTTAAAGCTTTTATGAATTCATAGTTTGTTGATTTATGACTATGCCCTAAAGCACCAGACAGACAGACATTTCAGTTTGCAGACAGCTATATCAACTAAAAGGAAAGTTTCACAGATACCATTTGACTTAAGACTATTCAAATAGCCCAGAATAATGGCATTTGCTTGTAATCCTAGCACAGGAAGATTGCTAGAGATCAAACATAGCCTGAACTACATAGTGAGTCTGTGTCAAAAACAAGAAACAACAAAAAGACTAATTGGACAAAAAGGCATCTTACTATGAGAGAAAGTAAAAAATGACTTTTTATTTTAGTACGATGATGTAGGAATTATAAAAATTAAATAAGTTGTAATGTGAAAAGGCCAAAAGAAGAGATAATCATAATTTGTGTATGAAGGATGAGAAAAGCACAACAGCAAAAAAGTTATTATGAGGTAAGTAGAATTCACATTTAAGCAACGTACTTAAAAATATCACTTTGCGCACACAGCTTTTTCTAGTATAGCAGTATTGCCCAAGTATCAATCACTTTTGTATTATTTTTGCATGCTACTGGTATTTTTCACTTCATTTTTAGGAATACTGTTTTTAAGGCCAGTAACACGGTTCAGCAGCACAGTGCCTGCCTGGCAAGCACAAGGTACTGAGTTTGATTCCTAGTACCTAAAAAAAAAAAAAAAAAAAAACCCAAAACAAACAAACAAAAAATACTAGTTTTATTCTAAATATTCCTGATGGCACAGAAGTTACATTTTTCCAACATGTTGGAATATTACCAACATGTTGGAATGTTGATATTTCCAACATGTTGGAAAATGCCTATTAATATAAAAAGTTTAAGTATCTTACATATAACAATGGTGTATATATATGGCATATTGTATCACAAAATGAAAAATGGCAGATCAAAGACATTAATTTTATAGTTCTGACAGTATTGACAGAGTATTTATTCACTGAAATGGGATTAAAATAAGTAACTGCCTCTGTTCCTAGACTGTACTGCCCTAGTAGTTATTTTGAACCTTAATACTTTTCAAGTTACTTTTTAAAAACTTGCTTTACCATTTCTTCTCCCCAACTATAAACATAATGAATGCTGATATAAACTGGGAGTTTAGCTCAACAGCACAAGCGCTTGCCTGGGAAGCGTGAGTTCATGGGTTCTATCCCTGGTACCGGGAAAAAAAAAAAAAGACTTTAAAGCTATATGGTTTAGTGAAGAAAAAAAGACTTAATAGTTGGTCATTCAGAGATAACTAGATGATAATTTTGGTATATAATCTCAGCACCCGAAGTCAAGTGGAACTTTAAGGAAGCTAGACCAACTTACCTCACAAATCAACATCAAATCAACTCTGCTAACACCAGTAAAATCTTATGTTCCATTATCAGTAACTAGATTCCTATCTAGTTTCCTATTTCTATCAGTAACTAATTTTAGATCTCATTAAGTTTGTTGCCTAGTTCCAGAACAAATGACATGGGATCCTATCTTTGATTTCCTAGTCTCTCTTACCTACAATTCTGTCCACAGCTTGATACCTTCTTCCTTCAAAGTGTCATCTGTCAGGAACTCTCTCTACTTTTTCCTAAAACCTTTCAGGGTCCTAGGCTAATCTGAACTGTTTTTAGTAACATCAACAAGAAACATCAACCTTCAAAATTTTCTGCTGCCAGAGGTAATACAAAATATTTATAAACTTAGTTAACATGTAAACACAAACTAGAGCCATGTTTTTTTACTTAGCTCTAAACACTTATTCTTAGCTCTATTACTCATTCACCTCTTCAAGACCTTATTATTTAATCAAATTCTACTGGATTCTCTTCTGAACATGACCAACCACAATTTGGCTCAAAAAATTGTATCCATGAAGGATGCTTTGGTTCACAAAGTTAACTCTTTCCAAACTCCAATCAAAATACAGATTCCTTCAGGAATCTCTCTGATTACATCTTCAGTGACCTCAATTTCATAGTCCTCAAACACTTTTTATGGCACTCTTATTCTATTTTGCATTGTGGTTCTGATTTTCAGACAGATCTACTCTTGTCTAACATGCTAAGTAGTAGCTGCATGTGGCAATGTAGCACTTGAAATATGGCTCATTCAAGTTGAGCAATATTTATCTCAACTTGGTAAAAAAGTTAAAAAACACATTTTAAATACTGATCACATATTAAATATTTCCTTTTGAAAAAATTTTAAAAATATTTTATTAAAATTTCAGCTTTTTAAAATTTTTTAACACAGTTACTAGAAAACTCAAAATGATGTATTTCTACTGGACAGTTGAACTTTAGGTCAGAGCCATGGCAAAGAGCTTAGCAGATTGTTACTCATACGAAGACATCTACAATGGGGCAAGAAGGACAGAAATCAATGCGAAACTCTACTAATTAAATCATATACAGAGCTGCATCTCCTTAGGGGAAAAGAACTTATTATTTCATTCAAAAGGGTCAGTCTCTAACCGAACTATGAACCCTGGGAAGCTCCCTGTTCAGAAGGCATGCATTTATCTAATTTGCACAAAAGCATCTGATAATCTAGCAGTAGTCCAGAGTTGGATCATGCCTTACTCATGTTTTATCTACACATTCTAGCTGAACAATGATTACCCAACTCTACCTTCTTCAGATACATCTGTTACCATAACATTTACTACTTTACCTAGAGATTATAACTGTCTCAACTGCCCACAAATCAACATGAAGACTCAAGTTTTTTTTACTTCTAGCATCAAAAATAAACCACTGCCTACTTTTCTTTTCACAGCTGTTTCTAAAGTATTTAACCATTTCTAACAATCTATGTAAATAATTATTTACTTTTTTAAAAGACCAGTATAAAAAAAAATTATTCTAACCCCACAGTGTCTCTAACCAACCTGATTGTTTTTCTCTTTTTGTCTTAGAATAACTGATGCTGGGAGATTTCACAATTTTAGAGGTACCTGGGTCCGTCTTTAGTTGCCCTTTGGGAAAAGAATCTCTATTTTCAGTAATGCTTTTTTTCTGTTTTGTACTTGTTTGTCTAAGTTCTCTGCTGTTCTTCTTAGAATTTATTTCTGAATCTATCGTCTTAAATTTATCCAAGCTTTTGATTTCCTTAATTCTCTCAGAATTAACTAAATCATGTTTATTTCCAGGATCCTTTTGATTAATATTTTTGGTTTCCTTTTTTTCCTCAATCGTATTTTTTGAATCTATTTCTTTTTTTGTCTTATGGTTCTTCTTCTTTATTTTCTGCTGATTTAATGCTTTGCTATCTTCATCAGAGAGATCAGAATCAGAATCTGAAAGGTCATAGAAACGTTTCAAGTCCTCAGTAGTGCTGTGATTGATAGGGCGTCCTCTTTTATCAACTGCATAGTTCAATTTGAACTTTTTGTCATGAAACATGGCTCGAAATCTCTTGTCAATTTTGACTTTTCGATCCTTTTCCGGCATCTCCCAGAACCTAGGATCCTTTGAAATCCGCCTAAATCGCTGATCACTCATTATTTCTTGTTTGGATGACATTTTGAAAGTCTTACTGAAGAACAGTTCAAAGAAACCAAACACTGAAAAATAAAACAAATGTTACAATAATGAAAGGTTAATATAATTAAATTAAAAAAAAAAAACTATTAATTTACAACACACTCTAATTTGAGTGACCAAGCAAAGTCCCAAAGTTTTATGGAGTGCAACAATGTTAACTAGCCCACTGCAATTAGAATGTCTGTATTTCTAGATGTGTATCTGTAAGTAATATTAGTTAAAAGTGAATGTAATTAAGAGATTCCCAAGCCTCAGTCGGTCTCACTTGTTTCTTTACATTCTAGTCTCATTTTCTGTTAATGTTTACCTCCTGCTACTACTAACAGCCTTTATTTCTACATAGAGCCCTAACTAAATAGACCAAAATAAAAGCAAGCTTAGTTTACAAAGTTTCCTCTCTAAATGCTACCTTCCCTCAAGAACCAGATAAAGTCTCACTCCACTTAATAAATATCACTTCTTTTCTATAATTTTTTATTCTACAAGTAACTAAGTAGATCCTCCATAGACATTTGAGTATATTAATATAAATTAGTAGTGTTGCCTCAAAAATAGTCTCTAATGTTTCTCTGGATTTGAACTGTGCAAAAAGCCAAGCCTAGTAACTGCTAAGAGCAAAAAACTGATCAAGTATTTGAAAAATAGGGACTGTTTTTTTCCTTACACTTGGAGAAAAAAGTTTATACACTAACCAAAAAAATATCCAATGTTTCACTGCTGCGTTTACAAACTTTACTAGTACAGTAGTTAACTCTTTGAACAGCTTTACAATGTAGACAGCATTCATCCAACTACGTAGTAGAGGTAATGAATGTAAATATATAACGAAAGCTCTAAACATCGGATGTTTAGAAAACACATGGCAGCCCGACAACATCCTATTCTCTAACGCGGGCAACCCTAACACTGGCCCCAGAGCGAGGGTCTCTTTCCTATCTCCCAGTCCTAATGGGGAAGCTACTGGGGTGAGGCAACCTGGGAAGCAACCCTGAAAAGAACTAAAGAAACCTGAATAAAGACTCTGGAGAGGGAAAGAAAAGGTGTATCCCTCACAAACCCAAAGCAGGTCGTGTCACAGCTTGCTTCTATCTTTTTAGATCTCTAACTAGCAGTTCTCATACTCTTCCCCACTCACCGTTTCGCGTCTCTCTTAGCCTCACATGGAAATCGCACCCACAATCCTTCGCGCGAAGTTCGGCCGCAACGGTACGCGAACCGGGCCAAACTACTTCTCGTTTGCCCCCTTTCGGCGTTCATTTCGGTCGCTTTGAAATTGCCGTAGCCGTAGCCATAACCGCGAGGCGCAGGCGCACTACAAAGTGCGCGGATATGTAGTTCTTCGTGTGGAGATGCTGAGGCCGTGGCTGCGGTGGTGTCGGTGGCTAAGGCCTGGTACTGCAAGGGTTCTTAAAGAGAACTTTGGTTTTCGAGAGCTCGCTTCTAGTGTCCCTCCCTCAGGCAGCACTTCTCCCGGAGCTCTAAATATCTTCGACCGGGGTTTGAAGAGGAAACAGAAAAACTGGGCGGCGTTGCAGCCGGAGCCGACGAGATTTGACTACCTGAGGGAGGAGGTGAGACCATGGGGCCGCGGAGGAGAGCGGCGCTGACCTTTAAGTCCGCTAGCTCCGGTTAGGCCAGCATCGAGCCCTTATTATCGTGTGACCTTGAGCCGCAGCCTTGCTACTCCGGGGCCTGTGTTATCACGAACGGCTGTGTTGGGGTACTTGTAGTGTGCTGTTCATTCATTGACTTACTTACCGGGTATTGGTTGAGTTCTAACTGCCCGGGGGAGAGTTAGAGGCTCGTCGTGCCTTCGGGCTTTCACCGTAGGAGGAAGGCAGACAGACACACACAAGAAGGCTAGTTTCAGCTCCAGAAGTAAGAGTTGGGAAATGAAATGTGTGACTGCGATGCTCAGATATGCCTAGACTTGAAGAATTAGGCGGGTTGTGGGGAGACGAATGCAAAGCTCCCGAGTCAGAAGCGCCCTTGTGGTGGTCTTCGGTGAAGCTCCAATGAGAAAGCGTGAGAAAGGAGATTGGGAGGACCCAGGTTATTAGAACCGTTCAGAGGAAAGACTGGATTTTCTTCCGTGTTCCACTCATTATCGAAACTGGTGGCCGCTAGTGGCTGTTGAGCCTTCGAAATGTGGCTAGTACCAGTGGAACGTGAAAGTATGAAAAATACACAACGAATTTCAGCGAATTACTCTCAAAAAGAATGTAAAATGTTGAATTGATTGTGTGAAATTTTTTGATGTTGGATTAAAGTATATTAATATTAAATTTTTGTGGCTTTTGAAAAATATAGCTCTCTGAAAACTTAAAGTTATTTATGTGACATTCATTATCTTGGAACAACACTGCCCTGCAGGAATATGAGACTTGGGTGGTTATAAGCGTGGAGTGATGTGATCTTACATTTTAGGAAAGTTAAATTAAGGTGATCAGGAGTAGGTTGAAAGACTTCTTTCTTTCTGCCTTGGTAGACTAGGGATTGAATTCCTAGTCTGAGGACACAGCGCTGAGCACAGATCTCAGTAGATATTTCAGTCAGGGGTGGGAGAAATTTGGAGTTGAGTATATTGCATTCTTTCAAGCTAAAACAACAATCATTTTCTCAGCTGCTACTTTGAGCAGAGTTCTGTGTAAAGCATAGGTAATTTTTAAACTTTAATGTACAATTATTTTTATTTATTTGGTACCAGGAATTGAACCTAGGACCTCACATTTACCAGGCAGGCACTGTGCCACTGAGCTGTATCTCTGGCCGAAAAGTAGGTAACTGACAGTGTCAGTTTTCAAAAAGCTTCAGGTGAGACAACCACTCAGAGGTTGATGAAGTTTGTTACAGAAATAGAAAATCAACTGTCAGGAAATTTTCTGTACTCCATAAGGCACAGTGCACAGAGTACACTGATCCTGCCAGTTGATAGTTTCCTTCTGCAGAGCAGCATTTAGAAGTTGTGAATTCCTTAAAATGGCACGTGTATGGAGAGTGTGTGTTCCTAGTAGTCCCTTTCCCTCTCCAAGGAAAACACCTGGGTATTCACCAAAGACCTACCAATGTGCAGAACTAGAATAAATGAGATGAAGTATATGAAGTTTCTTTCTATAATAAAAGGTATTGATATGAGGAATGAGGTACACAATGGCCTTTTCTGAGCAGACTCTTGCTCTACCTCTTCTCTTTGCCCTTTTCTCTTTCAGAAGTAAGTACACTTATGTTTTGAACTCTCATGTATTAATAGAAACTCTGAGATGTTTATGAGGAAAGGAGTAGAATGCGGGAACATTATAGACTCCCGCATCTTTATTCTTGCAAGCTGAAGCTAACTCAGGAAAAGGTGGTACTTAGCCTTCGGACCATTTTTACTTTGGGATGGAATAGGGCTACATTTCAAACATTTTTTTTTTTTTCTAATTTCAAAATGTCACTCAGGAAGGTTGGTAACTAAGTAATATAAATTTGTTGGTGAGTTTTTATTGAGTATTTGTATGTTGATCTATAATAAAACTAAAGTAATTTTTCATTATTATATAACTCATGTTAATGCATGGGGATAATAATGTGCTTATTTTGTTCCTATTTTCTTCCTTGTGAGAAATGTTAAAGCCAAATATTTTAAAGAATATTTAATCTCGATTTCATGAAATTGATTTCAATATGTTCCCTGGTGTACTTTAGTATGTTCCTATTTGAGAGTTAAAAAGAAATTTGTTGTCATGAAATAGAGGGATGAAGGGAAATACTTAACCATGTTGATGCATAAGTAATCAATAAGTCATATGAGAGTGTTACTTCTGTGTTAAACCTGCTTAACATAATTTACATCGTTTTCTGTTGTAATCTTTCAGGTTGGAAGTCAGATTGCAGACCGTGTGTACGATATAGCAAGGTAAGGGATGGTTAACATAATAAAGTTTAAAAAAAGTTTTAGTGTTTTTTTTTTTTTTTTTTAAGACAAGGTTTTGCTGTATTGCCTAGATTAACCTCAAACAACTGGGCTCAAATGGTTGTCTTCTTTCAGCCATCTGAGTAGCTGGGGTTACAGGTGCATTCCCCCATGCCTGGTTAATACAATCAGCTTTTGAACGAAACCTTACATTTTACATGTTAACCGAGTTTGTTATTTGGAACTGCAGAATCTAGAAATACTTATTAATAGGGCTGGCAGTTTGCGTCACACTGTGTGTGTCTTTATTGTCTGGGAGAGCTTAATGTTCTTTTTATCATTATTGCCTAACAGGAAAAAGAAAAAAGTATGGAAGCATGATGTGTGGCTCTTTTCCAAGTCTATAGACAATTGACCCACTTGATTTGGTCAAAAGCCAGTAAGGAAAGATCGTTCCAAACAGATTAAAAAGTTGACTTTATGTAAATTTTTATGATTTACTAAATTTAGATATCTTAATCACTTTCTACATTGCTAGGATAAAATATTTAACACCCGCAACTTTCAGGAGGAGAGGTTTATTTTGGTGTGTATTTTAGATGTTTCAGTCCTTGCATGGTTGCTGGCATGACAGAAGGGCCTGGTATGAGGAAAGCTGCTCAACTCAGGGCAGCCAGAAAAGGGAGGACTCAGGGAAGCAGGTGACGCCCCAGGAACCCATTTCTTTACAATCAGGCCTCACCTTCCAACACCTACCCAGCTGTAGCACCTATAGTCCAGTCACAAGTCTTGCTCAAGCACACAAGGCTTTGGGGGAACATCCATGTATAAATGCTAATACAGATTTAAAAGTTTAACTAAAGTTAGCAAAAGTAAAAGAGAGATCCTCCCTAAGTTTATTTCTCAATCTGGATAGGTGAGTTTTTGGCCTTTTTGTCTTAAGAACTATTAGTGTTAGGGGTTTATAGCAATTTAGTAGACAGGATAACATGAAAAAATAGCATTTTTATCAAGAGTTATTGAAATTTTGATGGTTTTTTTGCTGTATATTAGGCATAATGAAAGATTTATAGATTGAAGTTTATGGTCATATAGTGGGAGTGACAGTCAAATAATGGATGTATTGTAGAATTATTCAGTGATACTAGCAAGTCACTTTCTGTGTTCTTTTTAAAAGACATCGAATTAGATCAAGCTGGGATGAATTTTTTACATTTGTTCATAAAATTTGTAAAAGCATGTGTTCCTTTATATCTTAGATAAATCTTTGTATTTTAAAGTCTTGGAATAAATTAATTTTATAAAATAAAAATAAGGCTATTATAAATACATCCCCATTTTATTTCACTAGTTTTTACTACTTTTTTTTTTTAAAGACGGATTTTTGCTGTATAGTTCTGGCTGACCTTGAGCTCACCCTGTTGCGCAGGCTGGCCTTGAACTCATGGCAGTCTACCTGCCTCTACCGCCCATATGCAGAGATTTTAGACATGTACCATCACACAAAGCTAATTTCATTATTTTGTTTTTAAGGTATACACACACACACACACAAAGCTGCTGTAATTATTTGTCTGGATTATAGCTTATTTATGATTCAATAAGAAAACACTAAATTTTGCAAATCTATTTTGGATTTTACAAACTTTGTCACAGTACTGAGCAAAACAATGAAATCCGTGGAAAGACTTGTGATTATGACTAAAAGCATGTTTTAAAAGTTAAATATTTGCAATTATTAAAACTGCATATATCCTTACATTAATATTCTAGTATTAGAAAGAGTAGTTTATGTTGTTAAAAGTGAATCTATGAGTGGGCCAGGGACTTAGTTCAGTGATGTAAGCCCCTGCCTGGGAAACACAAGGTTGTGAGTTCAATACTCAGTACCACCAAAAAAAAAATGGTGAAAGTGAATCTATGAACAGACTGCTGCTTATTACTTCAGGTGTTGGCTTGATTTTCTTAGCTCTGGATTCCTAGTACAGTACTTTGAACCTGATAAACTTGTCAGTAAATGATCCCTATTAGTTAGTTTTTTTTTTAAGTTTAACATGTTACTATATCATGGCATTTCACATGAAGATATCTAAGCATTCTGCTTTACCAAAAGATAACTAAATTCCTGATAAGGATGCCAGTTCATTTTATGTTAATTTACTTCAGTCCTTTTTCATTCTTTGCCTGAATATATTAAAATATTCTCATCAAATCTGTTTTTTAAATCTATCATGAAACCACCTTGTGGAAAGTGATTCTTTATGTGGTTCTATAAATGAATGACTGAATCACACAGCCTTGTATGCTCTCTGGAAGCTACAGCGGCAAAAGCAGATGACATTTGTGTTTGTGTTTGAAAATTGCATTCCCTGAAATGTTTCAGTGTGGCAGAAAAGGCAGGTGATATTTGTGTTTGTGTTTGAAAGTTGTATTCACTAAAATGTTTTTACTTAAGAAAGATTATTTTTTGGATTGTTTTATAAACAGAGCATAACTTCTGTGTCTGTTTTTTAGAGATTTCCCCCTTGCTTTGGATGTTGGTTGTGGAAGAGGTTATATAGCACAACATTTGAATAAGGTATATTTATTCAGTGACTTAATTTACTTTGAGAAATAAAAGTGACTTATTTTAAAGACTTTCCTAATCATTTCAGTTGAATCCTATTTAGATTTTTATTATCAGAATTTCTAATTCGTTTTGTTAAGCCTTTCTACTGATAGTAATTTATTTAAATCCATGTATATTTTTCTTTGTTTTCATTTTGTTCATTTTTGAGAATTCACAGTAAAAATTAGAAACTGAATTGTAGATTGGTAGACTACCTAATGTGTATTAGTTAAGTCTTTATGACTAAATATAAGTAGTCTTTTATTATGGCACTTTATTTTTCTAATTCCAGATCATAAAGATATTCATTTAGTCTTTTAGATTCTGTGAATAGGACACTGCTGGACCCAGTGATTAAGTAAGGCAGGATTTTTATATAAAATCTACTTAGATAAAAACACACACTTAGGCCTTGGGTCACATGGGGGTGAGGGAGAGGATTGTGGGGCTTCTACAACATTGTTATTGACAATACTAAATGGCATACAAATGGACAGGCATTAAAATGTAAATGGAATTAAAGGAAGAAAATAAATCAGTAGAGGTTCATGTGGTCTAGGTCTCTCAAAGGCATAGACTCAGACCTACAATTTTATTGAATCTGGATTGGTGATTCATTTGATTGGAAGGATGGCAGGAAAAGTAAGAATACAATGGAATGTGATAATAGTGATATTAAAGGAAGATTCATTTGGAAGTGGCATACAGGAAGGATTAAAGAAAGCATAGAGAAACCAACCAATTAGGAGACTGTGCTAAAGGTGATGGCAGTCGTGGAGGATAAAGGTCTACTACTCATTTGAAGGCAGCAGGTACAAAAGATGTAACATAGGAAAGAGACCTACTGGAACTCACAAAACTTGATGACTGATTGTCATCAAATAAATTTTTGGATTTCAGAATACAGCTATATAGCTCTACCTTTACCACTACCAAGTTGGTCCTTGTTATCACCTTTTGCCTAGATTATCACAGTAGTTTCCTTCTTGAGCTCCCTGCTTCTGCCTTTGTCTCGGAGAGTATTCTCATAGTACTGTAAATCAAAATTGTTTTTTCATCTAATTTAGTCATAATTTGAAGTCAGTCCATAAAGTGACTCTTCATCATGTCCCGACCTTACCTTCTTCCTGTCACCCTATTTTTTAGTAACTCTGGCCTCCTTACTTTCACACAGGGCAGCACTTCTAATACTTTCCCCCAAGATATCTTTGTGGATTACCTACCTCTGTCAGATCTTTGCTGAAATGACTTCTTATCAGAGATCTTGTCTCTGATTGGTTTCTAAAATAGTGTCCTGTGGTGGATTAACTAATGGTCCATTGGTAACACTAATGGTCCATTTGTAATGCCCAACTGAACTGAATCAGCTTGGTGCTAGATGTGAATGGCCCATCTGAGGATTGTTGCCAATAGCATAAAAGGAACTGGAAGGGGCTGGGGATTTAGCTCAGCGGCATAAGCACCTGTCTTGCAAGCAGGCGGTCTTGAGTTCCATCCCTGGTACCGATAAAAAGTTAAAAAAAAAAAAAAAAAAAAAAAAAAAAAAGAGCAAAAAAAGGGAACTGGAGAGGTTGGTTCTCCTGGAGAAGCTTGTTGTGCTGCCCCCCCCCCCCCATATGAACTCAGCTGTTCTCATCATTGGAGGAGCTTGGATTCTCACTGTACTTGAGGATGATTGTGATTCTCTTCAGGGAGCTCTGATTCTTAATTTAAGCATTGCTTCCTGGCTGTGGTGCAGAGCGTTTAGCCTGCTAGCACAGACTTTCTAGCTTCTACCACTGATTTTTGGTCCTTCTTAGTGCAGATCTTTGATACAGACTTGCATGAGGGAGTGTTGTGGGCTTTAGGCTTCCAGCTGGACTCATGGAGGGCATTGCCGTGGGCTCTAGGTCTTCAGCTGGACTTGGGTAGGACATTGCTGTTGGATTCAGGGCCTCAGTGGTATTCCTTGGGTCTCTGTTGTATGTACACATTGCTTGTACTCTTTTGCATTTGACTTTTTTGGTGAATATTATAAAATAATACTACAAATTGTGTGTCCTGTATTAAACCTGTTCTCTTGCAAACCCTGACTACACTCTTCACTGGCTAGTTGCTATAGCATGATTAGTTCCTAGTATATTTTCATTTGGTGTTTGCCTTTTCTTACTGGACTTGATTGTTTTTGTTCATTATTAAATTCCTAGAACACAAAATGTAAATTTATTAAATGATTAATTTGTGAATAAATGTAAGATGACTTTAAAGATGACTTCAGTGAATGGGAAAGTTGAGTTGTAATAGGACAAAAAATAAGGGATGTTTTCTCTTTTAGACAGGTTTGAGTTTAAAGTGTCAGAGGAATATATTAGTATTAACATCTGCAAGATAGATGGAAATGGGGAACTGAATTTGGGTGTTGAGGTTAAGAGCATTAATTTGAAGTTTTACAGATAGAGGTTCAAATTACCAGTGCTGCTATCTGCTGTCTTTGTACTCCTGGACCAGTTATTACATCCTTCTATACCTCAGTTTCTGTAAAATGTGAGCAGAAACACTTTTTCTCAAAAGAATGGCAAAAGGATTGAGACAAGGTAAATCTGGCAAAATAGAAGTTATGATTCTGTCAGGTGTGATGACATACTCCTGTAATCTTAGCACTCAAAGCTGAGGCAAGAGGATCCCTATGAGCTTGAGGCTAGGATAGGCTACATGAGCAAGTTCAAGGCTCAGTGGCATTACATAATGAGACCCCACCTTAAAAAAAAATGTTACGGTTCTTACTTGGAACTCCTTGTTAGAGGTGACAACTAAAGCCATCAGTAAAGAATTGGTAAGCTGTCTAAGGCAACAATGTAGAAAAGAACCATCCACAGTTGTATTCAGGGGTGAGAATAAGGAGGCTGCCAGGTATAGTAAGATAGGTGTTATCTTAGGAAGGTTTTAGCCTTTTCTTTTTTCTTTGTGTTGTTGGGAGTCAAACCCAAGGCTAGGCAAGTGCTCTACCATTGAGCTACATCCTCAGTGTTTTATAAGAAGCAGAAATCCTTTAAAGCCAAACACAGGGACACTTGTTACATAGAGGTTCTTGTGTACCTGAGCGATCCAGAAGTATAGCAGGCCTCACAAGTGATGAGACTTTAAAAATTCATTGTGGAGGTTCTCTTGGTTCATGTGTTTTCCGGTATTACACAGATATTGTATAGCTGCCTTCTTTCTTTTTTTCTTGCTATTGATTATTGCTAATCTTCACTGGTATGTGTAGCTCTAATATAAATATTAGGGCCATTTAGTGGAATACTAAAGCTAGCTCAGATCAGCTCATGAGAACTTGGTGTTAATCTCTTCCTCAATTTTGTAGTCAGTGACATTGTGTTGACAGAGTGAAATCAGCCATTCTGGGAGTATTGACACCATGGAAATTGGATATGGTTCACAGAAGTCCCCTGGCAAGAATCGGTTATTAAATGTATGACAGAACACCACTGTCTCAACTTTGAAGTCTACATGTTCTATCTCAGGGACTTTTACCCTCCTCTTTGAATCTCTTCATTTAGATTTTTAAGAGGGAGACACAGTCTGATTGACCCCTTCAGGAGGGTATGCTGCAGCTGGCTTGTGAAAGCCAACTGTGCCTGTCCCTTTCCAGCTCTACTTTAGTAACATCACATTGGTAGTCTGGCATCTACCATTACTGAGTAGCTCACCATGGAAGTTGCCAAATAGTCAAGTTAGGAGCTTGTCCTTAAACATTTATCTGCATTTAACCTCAGGTTAACAGCAGTGACTGTGTCTAGTGGAAAGACTCTGTGGTATAGTATATGCTTTCTAAGTTGTGGGCAGGGAAAAGCAGATATGAATGAATTGAAAGAGAATAGGTTTTCTAATAGACAAGAGCAAGAATAGAAAGCACTAAAGAAGTTTCTAGTAGATTTTAAACAGTACTGTGCTTCAGTCTGTTGCACTGTGCCTCCCTGTAATTCCAGCTACTCAGAAAACAGGCAGAAAGATCACAAGTTCAAGGCCAACCTGGGCAACATAATGAGACCATATTTCAAAATTTAAAAAGATCCAGGCATCACAGCTTACTGGTACAGTGTAGCTGGTATACCTAGTATGCCCAGCGCCCTGGGTTTAACCCCCAGTACCACAAACACAGCAACAGAAATAGGTCAGTGCTTCAAGGAAGTCAAGTGAAACAGCACTGAAGGCAGTGAGAACAAACTACTGCATTTCCACTTAGACAATTAGTGATCTCTAGAAACAGCTCTGGTAAAGCAGTTGAAAGAAAGATAGATTACCAAGAGTTTGGACAAGGACCTCAGTGTGTAGATTGTTGGATTATAAACCAAGCAACTGGTATGTACTTCAAGATGAGATATTTTTAAAATTGGGAGGTTTATGCATGTTGTAAGTTGAGGGAAAGAGACTGAAAGTGTTTGAAGATTGTCAGAAGAGGAGATAGAGGAAGAAGGATCCTGAAAGAGCCAAGTGGGAAATGGTAATTTGGGATAGAAGTAAGCAATACCCTTTCTTCTTCTTCTTCTTTTTCTCCTCCTCCTTCTCCTTCTCCTCCTTCTCTTCCTCCTCCTCCTCCTCCTCCTCCTCCTCCTTCTCCTCTTTCTCCTCCTTCTTCTCCTTCTCCTCTTTCTCCTCCTTCTCCTCCTCCTCCTTTTATTTAAAGAAAGACTACACAAAACAGAAAACGGATAAAAATAATACAAACTTTCAAAGAAAAACAGAAATCACTAGTTGATTACATATTGTCCTCTTACAAATAGTTGTTCAAGATACATAAGTGAAACATAAAATAGGGATTCAAACAGTGAGACTGTAAATAGTTCTGTTCAACTATCCATCAAAAACTTAGTAATATGGTTATCAATCCTACACACTTAAACATACATGCAGTTATCCATATTTGTTCATTTCATCATGAGTTAGAAGATAGTTCTTGTAAACTGTTTATAGGTTTTATGCATGCATGAGTCTTAACATATATTTCTATCCTTTCTATATTAGAGGGAGAAACAAAACAAAGCAAGATACAAAAAAACATATTCCTATAAACACATGAAATGAAAAAGACATATAAAACCGTTGTACAAGGAGTTCTACCATGGTTACTTTGTTGTCTCTTGTTATCTTCGATAGAATTGGCTATATCATCAGACATAGTATATTTGAATATAGTAATACATAACAATATTAATAAAAGCAAAATTTTGTAGATAGTATAAAACTTCAAAAACAGGTAGTAATCAAACCAGAATGGATATCATAGTGAATCTTGTCATCTTCAGTGTAATTGCCTATATTCTCAGACTTGATACTATCAGTCATAACAGTTTTGAATAAAATCTGTCAATACCAAACAGCAATCAAACAAACCAGATTTATCTAAGATGAGTCATGATAAAAGAGTATAAGTTACACAGGGCTCCAGATTAAGTTAATAAGAAATTAAAGATAATTACTGCACTATATCCTGATATTTTTGGGATAGCTGTCTGTGCTCTCATATCTAGTGCAAGTAAACAAACTAGGACAGAATAAAATTATCTAAGCAGAGCAGTGTAATATGGGTTTTAAATCCTGATACACTATTAACAATATCTTCTGCCATCTTTTTAAAGACTATTCCTCCCCTTCTACTTCCCCAGGGTGCACTATGCATTTTTGCACACTGATACCCTCGGTTTTTAGAGTGGGGGGGGCAACCTGCTATTTACCTAAGTGGTTCTAAACCCTCTCCCTCCTGGACTTGATCTCTAGTTGTATTTCTTCACCTATTAAAGCCTGTCTTTCCAATCTGTCCACAAATACTGGTCTAGTTGCCCCTATTTCTCTCTGGTTCCCTGTCACATGGAGCATTGTTTTTACATATTTGATTTTTGATCCATATACCCCTTTTCAGGTTAATTATATTTCCTATATAAAGCATCTCGGTGGACTCTTCTTTCTGATCTACTCTGCCTGTGTTTCTTTCTTTTTTAGTGTATCAAGGCCATTATATTAGAAATTATAGCCAACTTTCTCTGCCGCATATCTGTTGTGCCTTTTTCTGCCAATGGGTGTCTGCTTTTCTTCTTCATTCTGCTTTCTGCTCCATTCATTGAGGCCTCTCTGCCACTATTCCTGGAATCCTGGTACTTTTCTCTCTCTTTAGAATGTCCTGTAGAATTCTCTGTAGAGTTGGATTGGTGGTCGCAAATTCCCCCAGTTCCTCTCTGTTTTGGAAGGATCTTGTTTTTCCATTAATTTCTGGAGACAGTTTTTCAGGGTACATCAGTCTGGGCTGGAGATTTTTTTCTTTCAGAGCTTGGAATACTTCACTCCAAGGTCTTCTTGATTTGATGATCTGTGTTGAGAAGTCTGCTGTGATTTTGATGGGTTTTCCTTTATAGGTAATCTGTGTCTTGTCTCTGACAGCTTTTAATATGCTGTTCTTATATTGAATTTCTGGGATCTTGATTATTATATGGCTGGTTTGGCTCTGTTTTGGTTGTAGGTAGCTGGAGTTCTGTATGCTTCATATATCAGAATATCATTTCCTTTTCCTATGTTTGGGAAGTTTTCCTTATTTCTGTGAATAGCCTTTGCAGTTCCTTTGTTTGTACCCCTGCTTCTTCATTCACATTCTTGATTCTTAGGTTATAGATCCTCTTGTTGTCTTCTCGCCTTTGTATTGTTACTACTTGTTTCCTTGTTATTTTTAAGAATTTTTTCCTTTCATGATCCCACATTGCAAAGCTGTCCTCCAGTTTGGATAATTTATCCTTAGTTTCTTTCAAACAGTTTGCCAGCTTTGATTGGAGTTTTTTATTTCCTGGTAATCTCTTTGAGTCTGTTTTATGTATTCTAGGTTTTCTTTATATTCTTCATCAAATGGTTCTCTTCTTTTTTGTGCTCCTCCATTCTTCTATGTCTTCTTGAGAGGTGCTTAGCATTTCTTTTATTCATCTACTTATATCTTGCTTTACTTGGTTAAATATTTTACTTTTGAACTCGCCTATGAGGTCCCGAAGGTATCTCTTTATGTCCACTGATGCTGTGTCTGATATTGCATGTTTGTGTCCTCAATCTCTTTTGTATTTACCTTTCCTGGATTAGTGTTCTCAGGGTTGGGAGCTGGGGACTTTTTCTTGCTTCCTCTTCTCATATTTTTTTGTTTCTTTCATACAGGCATTTAAAGGAGGTCCCAGTCCCTTTCTTTGTTAAAGGTCTTCTGAAGTGCACTGGCTAGGTGATCCTGCCCACTCCAGTGTGCTAATGAGGTACAAACAAGGGTGGAGTATGCTGGCCCCTCCCATCCGGGTCAGTCAACCTCCTGAGGCCTTCACTGGGTTAGTGTGTACCAAGTAGGGAATTGGTTTGGGAGAACTTATTGGTTCTTAGCCAGAGGCATGACCCAAGTCAAGCATATCCCACCAATCTCGTTTAGGAAGGGAACAACTGACTGAAGTCACTGCATGTTCCTTGTTCTTGCCAGTCCTGCCCGATTCCAAAGTGTTGTCCTGTTGGAACAACACCCTTTTCTGTGGAAGGGTTTTATTCCCAGCACTCACCGCAGGTCAATACAGGTCCCTTGCTAGCTCCTTTCTCCGTTGGGCTTGCTGCTGTCTGACTTCAGTGCGACTGTGCTTCCAGTGAGTCAAAATTTGGGCAGCTTGATGAGTTGTGGCCACGCGTGTTTGGGCACTGCAGCTGGAGCACCGAATCTTAGCTGTTCCAATAGTAGCACCAGGATTGCATGTTTGACGGGTTCTTTTTACTTTAGTTTCTTCCTGGGTCGAGAGGATTCATCTCCCTCTGTCCAGGACTCCCCACACTGTTATTTTGGCATCTAAGTTGACTGTCTCAGGGAGCCTCTGTGATCTGCTCTTATCTATCCGCCATCTTTACTGGAACCCTCTGTACCCTTTCTTCTTGAAAGGGAAAAAGGATAGATAAAACAAGGGAAGTAAAGCCCATAAGCCCCATCCCTAAGTCTCTGTGTGCTAACTCTTTACTGTTTGTAAACTCTTTGAATGAATAATTGAATGCAGGAAACCCATACAAGAAGTGCCTTTGTGGCATGAGAGTATGAAAACTAGCTCTCAGCTTATTAAGTCCTGGACAAGTTAGCATAGAAGCCCTCACTCAGTGCAGTAAAGCTTGTTAATGTTTACATTTGTATTTTGTTTTATTAACTGAAATTAAATACGTTAAAGAGTAACCGAAATTACATTAAAGATTACATGCATTTAAATCTGTGTAATTTATTATGTATCATGTACTATACTAGTGTAATATAGAAAAAGACTTATAGAGCTGAAAATTATTCTAAAGTTAGCCCTTTTTCCTTTAGAAATTTCAACAACTATTTGTTTTGTTTTATTAACTATTACATTTATATATTTGCTTGTCTTGTTGCATCTGATCAGCTTTAATAATTTCTTTTCAGGAAACAATTGGGAAGTTTTTCCAAACAGACATTGCAGAAAATGCTTTGGTAGGTGGCTTTTTAACATTGTTGGTTTCTGATCTCCTGGTTTTTTAGTTCTTTATTTCCCTCAAAATGAAAATGGCTTTCTTTTTTCTCACTAACATACACGTAACACACATAAAGAAAAATTATATAGTGCAAGAAATCTAAAGGAGAAAGGAAAAACTACCCCAGTCTTGCCACCCAGAGACAGCCACTGTTGAAGTTTGATATTTATCTTTGCAGACGTACAACTCTCTCCTGTCGCAGTATTCTACGAACAATATTATGCTGTCATTCTATTTTTTACATTCCTGTCAGGGACTATTTGTGTATGTCTTTTCAAGTGATTACATAGTTCTCCAATATATGAATGTTAATTTAACTAGATTTCTATTGGAAAACATTTTACTTGTACTGTTTCAGTACTCAACAATGCAGTGAATATCCTTATGTGAAGCAACTGTGTGTGATTTTTTTTTTTTTTAAACCGGGGGTTATATTCTTGGTAGTGAAATTTGTGGATTCACTGATGTAAAGATATCTGTATATATCTCTAGGCTGTCCCTAGAAAAACTGAATGAGGGTATTATGTGAAAGTGTTTACTTGCCTCTTCGGCATCACTGAGCCAGTCTTTTTGTTGTTGTTATTGTTGGGTTTTTTTGTTTGCTTGTTTATTTTGGTCTTTGTCAGTTAGATAGGCAAAAATGATGTCTTTTTTTATTTCTTTAGTTGAACCAAATAGTTGAACCAATGGCTGTTGGTTTTTGGTGGTATTTCTCAACTTGTTAATTGTATAAATAGTTTTGTGACACGTGTACCTTGGTAGTTGACTTTAGCTTTTAGCCATTCTAATGCTAGGTTGTTATTAAGAGCTTGTTTTTTAGGGATATTCTTCATTATGTGTATTATAAATATATTGCCCAGTTTGTGTGTCACATTTTTTTGTTGCTTTTCAGAGCATTTCGTTTGTCATTAGATATATCAATATTTTCATTTATAGTTTCTATCTTTTGAGTGATATTAACTTAGCCTTTATTATTTTTTAATTTGAAAGTATAAAAATGTTCACCCATTTTTTATCTAGTATTCTGTGGCTTTAGTTATCCCTTTGAAATGTTCAGCTTTCTGAGATTGTTTTGGTATAAGGTGGATATCAGCTAACCAGTTTTTCTGTTTGAGCTTACATGTCATTTAACAAAGTTCTTTGGGTACCGCATATCACGTTTTGTTGTTGTTTGGATAGAAACAGCCAAATGAACATAAAATTGATTTAAATTTAATAATGAGACTGCATACATATGCTTTATATCTTTTATTTTTTTATCATTAGAAAAATTCCCTAGAAACAGAGATTCCTACTTTCAGTGTTTTAGCTGATGAAGAATTCCTTCCCTTCCAAGAAAATACATTTGACCTGGTGGTTAGCAGTTTAAGGTTGGTAATCTATTTGTACTTTAAAAAATAGATGTATTATAAATAAATGATGCTATAAAGTTTTACAAGTTAAAATAGGTAACAGTAAATTCTCAGTAACTTTTTAAACAATCATGAACAGTTATTTTATAAACTGAATTTCTCTAGGAAAGAATTACAGATCCCAGTGCTTTCTCATAGCGATAATAATACTTTTTATCCCAAATTTTCCACAGCTTCCACATACATTAGAAGGGGTTTTTCTCCCCAGTAGAACTTAGTATTTTGGATTTTTGCTGATAGGGCAGAAGTTTGAGAGTATCCTGACTCCAGTATTCAAGTGTTGGCACCCTCTTACCAAAAGTCATTTGGCAAATGGGAAAGCTAGTGTTTCTTTCAACCTTAATTCTTTTACAAAGAAATACAGTCCTCAAGTTTCTTCTTTCCCTTTGTGTTTTCTACTGTGTCCCTGTACATTTATTACATGAGTATGTACTGTAAGTATTGATTTAGTAGATTACAATATGTGAGACACTGAGCTAGATGCTTTTAGGAGATACAAACATGAGTTAAGAATTAAAAAAAAAACTGCATCTAATAGAGAAAATAAACTATCCACTGTGGCACCTAATTTTTCCTCTTACAGATTTTCTTGTAAAGGTTTATTAAGATTTTCTTTTAAAGGTTTATTGCACATCTCACATCCAGTTCATCCTTTCTGTTAGCTGTGTTTAAGGTGAACAACATCAGAATGTGTCCAGGACTTTGCCAGTTTTAGCACTGAAAGCCACCTGTTTCCTGGAAAACTTATTAGACCCAGGCAAACTAGGAAAGTTGGTCACCCTTGGTGTTTCCTTTAGTGAGCTTGTGATTTCTTCCTTGCCTTTATATAAACACTGAACAAAGTTTTAGAAAGTAATTTTGTTCTGTTACAAAAAGCATCTTGATCTAAAGGAAGGAGACCTGGGAGAGAGTCAGAATATAGGTTTCAATTCAAGCTCATCTGTTTACTATTTGCAAATAACTTAATTCTTTTGCTTTTGGTTTCTTTGTAAGTATGATGGAGGATCTCCTTAGTTTCTACATTATCTAATAAAATTATTGGAAAGCACTTTGAAGGATAAAGGTGAGCTTAATCCAGTATAGTTTAAAATGAATGTTTAATTCTGTCCTTGAAGTCAGCATAAGAGGGTGCCAACTCAGTTGGGAAAGAATGACAGACAGAGAACAAGATTCTTGCTTTCTAATATGACCATATTCTGGGAAAAAGTAAATAGGGTTAAAGGAAATTCTAAGAGGTTTCTTAATAAGGATAGAGAACTCTGGCTTTTGTTTTTCTTGTCATCTTTAAAAATTTTAGCTACCTGGCTTAGTTCAGTCAATTATAGAGTGTGGTGCTAATAAAGATGTTGGGTATGACCCAAAAATCATGCTTCAAGGTACCCATCTATCAGAGTGGCCAACATCCAGAACACTGATAACAAATGCTGACAAGGATGTGGAACAGCAGAAATTCTCATTCATTGCTGATAGAAATGAAAAATGGTATAGGCACTTTGGGAGACAGCTGAGGAATTTCCTACAAATGTAAACATTTTTACCATATGACCCAAAAATCATGCTTCAAGGTGTTTACCTAAAGATGTGAAAACTGATGTCTGTACAAAAATTTGCGTACAAATATTTGTAGCTGTTCTGTTCATAATTACCAAAACTTGGACAGAGCTTAAGATGTCCTTATAGTAGGTGAATGGCTAAAGTGTGGTACAGCCAGACCCTGAATATTTATGCATTGAAAAGAAGCTGCCAGGTCTTAAAAAAACATTTAGGAAACGTAAGTACAAATTACAAAGTGGAAAAAGCTAATCTGAAAAAGCACATACGTGAAAAAAAAAAAAAAAGGATACAGTATGACAGTCTGGAAAAGGCAAAACCATGGAGACATTTAAAAATAAGTAGTTGCCAGAGATTATTGAGAAGGGAGTTAAGGTAGTGAAAATATTCTGTATGATACTCTAATAGTGATACATGTCATACATTTGTCCAAACTTACAGAATGCCTAACACCAAGAATGAACTCTAATATAAACTATCAATGTTGGATGATAATGGTGTGTGATATTACAAGTATAGGTTCATTAATTGTAATAAATATGCTACCATGGTGAGAATGTTAATAAAGGAGACTGTGCATATGCAAGGATGGAAAAGTCTCCTTAGCTACTTCTCAATTTTGCTGTTAACCCAGAACTACTCTGTGTGTGTTTGTGTATTTTAAATCTTAAAAAAAAAAAAGAAGAATGTTACTACAAAATTCACTAACTTTTTTTTTTTTTTTTTTTAGTTTTTTGAGGCAAGATCTCACTGTATAGTGCAGTCTGGCCTTCAACTCGCTTATGTAGTCCAGATTGGCCTTGGAAACACAGTGATCTTTCTGCCTCAGCCTCTGAGTACTGGGATTACAGGCATGCACTACTATGCCAGACTCTTAAGTTAAGCTTTTGATGAATGATACCATTTGCTTTTGGAAAATTTTATGTCTACTAATGATCTTTGTTTCTCTTAGGAAAATATTACTTAGAATACTATGTTTCCTTGGCTTAATTGTTTAATTGGTGAACTTTTTTTTAATCAAATATTTTTAGCACTTTCAGATAAGTTCTCAAGAGTACTACTATTTGGATGAAATGCCAAATATGGATGACTTTAAGTGATGATATCGTTTTTCTAGTTAAAGTGTTATACTGACAAGAGGGAATTTTGTAGTGTGACAGAAGGAATGTTTATTTGAAAATTATGAAGTTAATGAGTTTTGACATAATTTCAGACTACACTACTTTTTATGGCTTATTATATATGATAATTATATTAGTCGAGCTCAAACAAACACTGTTTTTGTATTTTAGTTTGCATTGGGTTAATGACCTTCCTAGAGCACTTGAACAGGTGAGAAAACCTATGTTGATTCTATTCTGTATTTTTTCATTATTAGCAATGTACAGATATTTCCATTTTCACAGACTATGTATGTATAGGTCTTAGAGTTTGAGAATGGAAGCAAATCAAGTACTTCTATGGGCTGGGTACACTTGGTACAGTTGGGTACACTTTGCCATATAAATCTATATACATTGAATGACTCAGAATCTAAATTTTGAAAATATTAACTACACAAAATAGTATGGATGATATAAAGACATTTTCTGCGTGGGATCCCTTTCACTTAATTGCCTATAAATTTTGTGTGGGTATGAATCTATTTATATTTGTATCTTCCCTATAACTTAGAGTATGCCAGGTAAGTGCTTAATTTGTTGATACTCATCAGTGAATCCAAAAGGGATAAATAAAAAGCATGTTTTCAAAATAAGAGATACAGATCATTATGACTTGGAGTTGCTGAAGAAAGCTTTCAGAGGAAGGAGTTACAGGACTTGAGCAGAGTTTTAGAGAGTATGTAAGTTTTGGATTCAGGGGGTACAGTATTCCTGGAAGGCCCAGCCATAGCATGAGCATGAGGAAAAAAAGCCTCGGCCACAGGGTCCAGAAGGAGACCTGTTTGGGGGGTGACTGGTGTGCTGGGAGATGAGATGTATTAAAACCATATATAGGAAGACTTAGATGCTCTGCAGGTTTAGAACTCTGGAGTTTATTCTTTATGCAATTTAGAGCTGCTAGAGAACTTTAAGGGGGAAAGTGATGTGATTAAAATTTCGGTGGCAGGATAGCTAGGCATGTGCTATTTCTTAGGTTGCAGAGTTCTGTTTGATGTGTGGATTAAACAACCCACACATCATTTTGTTTCTTAGAAAACTGATGATAGAGAATTTGATTAAGTTGAAGAGAGAATATTTCAGTGGTCCATGTGTAAGAAAACTCAAATCTAGGTAACAGTGATAGGAATTAAAAAATGGAAAGGTTTGTAGGATTCTGCAAAGAAAAATCAACAATTTGGTGGCTTCCTAGCTCCAAAGATCAAAGGGGAACTCAAAACTTACCTTAATGTTTTAAATCCAGATGCCTGACGGAATGATTAGTAAAAGTAAGGAGAAAAGTGAAATGATTAGATAAATAAAAAAATAAGAATTAATCAAAATAGAGCAAAGGGAAGTTGGTTTGATGTGTTTTGTTTGTGTGGATTCAGGACAGTTAGGGTGGTCAGTTTTCCAAGAGACAAATATCTGAAAGGTAGCACTTGAAGGTGAGTATAGAGTTTTATGAAGCTGCTCAGGCTGAAGATAGAGATTGGAAAATCATACTTACGAAATTGTAGTTTGTTAGCCCTGTAAGGTGGAGAGAGACTGCAGAGACCTGAGAACTATACATTAGGTAATTGTTGTAGCAAAGTTTGGTGACAAAAGGAAGTAACAATAAAGCACCATAATGGAAGAAAACAAAGATTTTATTTATGTATTTATTTATTTATTTTTGGTATGTAGTGCTTTGTAACTGCTTAATATATTAAATATAATTGTAAGAGCTTTGATTAAAAGAGCTTAGTGTTATTTGAGTTCTTGTTAGCTTCCACTCTTGTCTTCATTGTTGAAAATAGCCTAAGCTAATAACAGATTTTACACTAACCTGTGGCCCACAGGCTGCTTTGTCTTCCATTTTTAAAAATTTTAATGTTATGATAAATATTTTAAAAAGCAGGTGTTATTACTTATGTATATTAACTGTATATTTCATATATGACTCAAAACAATTCTTCGTTTATGTGGCTTAATTAAGGACATTACTGGAAGAGAATCAGTGAGCAAACATTTGTGATTCTGGAATTCAGTCTGGCCAATAGTAATTTGCTTTTAGGTTAGCAATTAAAGTTGTTTTTGTTTCAAAGCTGAAAAATGTTTTAAAGAAAATGAATCTGTTAGGTGTTAATGGGTTAATGTTGTGAATCATGATAATTTTTCTGTAGATAACTTTTTTTCTGTATAATAGCTTGACACACTATTTGGCTCACAATTTTGTACACTGGACTTAGGAAATCCTTTTGGATTTAGTGTGTCTGTAATCAGCTGCCAACTAGGGAGCTGGCTGGTTAGTTTGACCTCATGGGGGACAGCTGTCTGATCTCTGCTTCATGCACCTCTTGTCCTCCCCCTGGTGTGCTCAGGCCCAGGAGAGCAGATGACAGTGTGCAAGGCCATGTGAGAACTGGACTTGAAACTGGCATGGTCTCAGTTCTTCCTCATTCTTTTGGCCAGGTTAAGTCAGGTGATCAGCCCAGAATCAAAGAGAGGGGACACAGACTCCCCCTTTTTTTTTTTTTTTTTGATACCATGGAACAAACTCACAACTGCGTGCTTGCAAGGCATGCACTTATGCCACTGACCTAAATCCCCAGCCCCAGAGACTTCATTTTTTAACGGTTGATGAAATGACATTTGAGTAGGTGCAGACATAGCTGTGATTTCTGCAGCCTATCCCAATTTTTTTCTTTCAGTATTTTTCTGAATATAAAATTATAACTACTATAAAATTTGAATTCCTGGAACATATTCTTACAAATTTTACTATTATTAGGAAGCATATATTTGTCTGTAACTGTATCATAACAGCAATGACTTAGATTTCTGGTCATGTTAGATGTGATGTATTTACTGAGTTATCTGATTTATTTGGCAGAATAAGATTGGTAGTCATAAAATACTGATTTAGACACTATTTTAACATTTTTGGATATAAAATTTTGAATAGTTTTGTTGTATTTATTACAGATTCATTATATTTTAAAACCAGATGGAGTATTTGTTGGAGCAATGTTTGGAGGTGACACACTGTATGAACTTCGCTGTTCATTACAGTTAGCAGAAACGGAAAGAGAAGGAGGATTTTCTCCACATGTTTCTCCTTTTACTGCTGTCAATGACCTAGGACATCTGCTTGGGAGAGCTGGCTTTAATACATTGACTGTGGTAACTATCAAGACAAGTAATGCCTTAATTACACAGTTCAGAAATGTCTTTGCATTTTAAAGAAAGATCGTGGTCCTGTCTTTGTTTCCCTAACCTTCTGTTCCTAACACTTTCAAGGAGTAGGCTTCCCAGAGGGAGTCATCTAGAGAGACAATGATTGTCTGTTTTTACCTCCCTCTGATAGCAGAGTCATTCTAAAGGGCTTGTTAGATGCTTCAGAGATGGACTTTTATGATTTTTTAAACCTTAAGACTTAGAAATGTCTGATTAGAAGAAATTGGAGTTTCTTGATAAAGAAAGCTTTTTATTGCATAGTTAGAGATGCTAGACTTAAAATAGCTATTTCAGGTGATTTAGTGCATGTTTTGTAAAATCAACCAACTCAAAAATACATTGTCATATCCTTTCTTGTATAGGTAGATAGTAAGGAATGTATACCAGGAGAATCCCTAATGTTAAAAGAGGTTCCAAGGAAAGGAAAGAAACAACTCGCTAAAAGATTAGACTAGAAGCTGAAGACAACCCTCAAGATTTCTAACTTGTGTCTAGGGTTGACTTTCTAATAAACTTTTATTTTTTATTTACTTATTTTATCATTTGGGTATTTTTTGAGACAGAGCCTTGCTATGTAGTTCATTCTGGCTTTGAACTCACTATGTAGTCTAGGCTGGCCTCAAACACACAGTGATCCTCCTGCCTCAGCCTCCCAAGTGCTGAGATTACAAGTGTGCACTACCATGCCCTGCAACCTTTTACAAGCTTTTAAATGGTTTGAGACAGTAGAAATACTTTTCTGAGATACTGAATGACTGGAAGTCAGAAAATTACATGAGTATTCTACTTTGTAAAGAAAAACTGATATTGATGCAGGAATGTTCCATAACACTGATGTTGTATGCAGAACTGGTGTTTTCTTCATTTGTGGAGGAATGTGGGTCATCTGATCAGCAGATCTTGAGAGAGCTGATATGACTGAAAACATAAGAAACTACTAGTTTAAAGTTTTGATCTAATGTTTATTTCATTTCCATGGAACAGATTACCCTTACTGCCCACTCTTAAAAATTAACTTCCATTTTGCTCTGACAAACCTACAATTAAAGTGAAAATAGAATCTCTGGGAATGGAAAGTGTCTAAAAACCTAGGAGGGTGCAGAGGGGTAGAATGACGTGGAGAGATGTGAGGACCAATATTGGGAAACTCTACAGTTGTCCAGTAGGAAAAAGTTGGGACAAAAATCTTTATTCACCAAAGGAAAAATAAATTTATATTGACTACATATGATTTCCTGTGGTTATAAATAATATTACATTTTAGATTTCTATTGAAAATGTTTAACCTGACATTATAGCATTTAAAAACCTATATTTCTGTTAATTAAGGAATATTATAGTTCAGTATCTTCTATATTCTCCAAAAATGAGCTGAGTGACCCAAACATTAATACAATGCAAAATGTTAAAAGAATCTTTTTCATATCTCATACAATTAGGAATGCTGCATTATTAATAAAGCTATAAGAATTTGTTCTTCCAATCATTAAATTTATTCTTTGAAGTATAAATAATTTATCTGAGGTGCCTTATTAATGTTGTATCCCAACTGATTTTCTAAAATTCTCATCCAGAAAATGTAACCAATTATATAGGTTTATGTTGTATATCTTAGACATTATATTTATATTGCAATTAACTTGTACTTTTAAAAGGAAATCAAGTAAAAATATATAGTTGTTTTTATATTTATATGAACCCCTTAGTGAATTATTTTCAGTTAGCTAGCATGCTAAATGAAATTCAATTTTAGAATAAAACTTCTTTTAAGGAATGCTGCAGAATACAGTTCAACTTAATGTAATAGTTGACAAAGCTATTTAGATATTCTTTTGATTGAGATGGAGATAATTTCATTGGAGAATCATTTTCAAAGCTATTACCTAATTGGTAAATATCAGTTTGCAAGAAAAAAAATTTTTTTGTACTGGAGATCAAACTTATGACCTCACGCTTGCTAGGCAGGCAGTTGTGCTGCTGAGCTAAATCCCAAGCCCTTGCAAAGAAATTTTTTAATCTTGGGATCTTTCCTTCTCTCTCCTCTCTTCTCCACTTTGCCCCACCCAGCACCTAGATCTCTTTTTTAAATACTTTGTTAATGTAGATGTATAGAGATAAAATGCTTATGGTCCTGTTACCCATAAGCATACACAGTCTGATTCATGCATATGTCAACGGAAAAAATAAAAGAGTTTTGTTGTATGTGTATGTGCTGTGTGTGTGCATGTATGTGAGAGAGAGAATGAGAACAAAGTCTAAAGTGAAAAGAAATCTTTTGAATTCTCACACTGTGTCCTTCCCTCCTAAAGATTTGTTGCTTGTATCCCTGTACTTCTTTTGAAAAGTTTTCTCCATAGGATACAAATATCATTTAAACTCATATGTGCAGTGGTGTAATACATTTTTGCTTCTTTAATGTATGTACTTTTTTGCTTTCCTTTTCATGTATATTTTAACATATATCTACATAATTTTTTTTAACAACTATGGTTTCCAATGGATAGATATTCTTTATTTCATTGTTTTTTTAATAACGACATTGTTGAGGAGCACCATCAATGGTTTCTGCCACTGTTACCAATAGTAAGCTATAGCATAAGACTGCAGAAAGAGGGACAAGGCATTGTGTAATAAGTAGTTCGTTAGGGAAATAAGCTCTGTCTGTTCCTTAAACAAGCTGTCAGCCTCAAAGTGGAAGTATCCGGGAGATGATTGCCTTTGGCTTGATTTGGCGCCACATTTTAAGGGTAATTGATGTTGATCAAAAATTTTGTCTGTAAGACTAGCTTTTCTCTCCATGCCTACCAAGGGGCGAAAAAAAAATCAAAACAAAATTATAATGACTTGAAAGAATTTTCAAAAACTTAGGAAAAGGTTTGTAAAGAATAGATTGATTCTTTGATAATTCCAAAGATAGAATTAGGACCAACTGATAGAGTTAGGAAGCTTCTCTCACAATGGAGAGTATTCAGAAATTTGAGATCTTGAGAAATCAAGCATAAACCAACTATATCTGTGAAGAATATAACAAAAGTTTCTTGCTTACAATTAGAGATTGGTCTTGGAAATCTCTATAGTCCCTTCTCAGATCTGGATTTTTTTTTTTTATAAATATCAAGTTAAATATACCTTTTTCTTTTCATTTAGGACACTGATGAAATTCAAGTTAACTATCCTGGAATGTTTGAACTAATGGAAGATTTACAAGGTAAGACATTTTAAAGAATTTTTAGATTCCATTTGAAACACACTTCATGAGTCCACCCTGTGCAAGAAGGAGGACGATCCTGCAGGGACTGAGAAGGCAATACCCAGAAAGGTGCTCAGTAGAAACACCAGAAAAGAACTGCCTGAACCAAGGGAAAGAAGGTTTCCAGATGAAGATAACATTCAGCAGCATCCAAGGCACAATACAAACTGAAACAAAAATCTACTGGATTGAGGAATTAGGTTTTTGATAACCTTGATGAGATCTGTGTTTGAGTGAGAATGGTAGAAGTACTCAGAGTAAGTAGAGGTATAAATGGAAGATAAGGAACTGGAGATAGCAGGAATTTGTTGTTCTGTCAGGAAGTCTAGGTGTGAAGAATAAGTGAGAGATGAAAGGATTACAAGTGCCAGATGTGATGGCGCATGCCTGTAATCACAGCACTTGGGAGTCTGAGGCAGGAGGATCATTATGAGTTCAAGACCAGCCTATACTGCATAGTTACACTCTGGTTAAAAAAAAAAAAAGAAAGAAAGAACAGGTAAAAAGATTACATGTGTCAGGAGGATGGGAATAGGAGATGAGTTTTTTTTTTCTAATTTGGGTTTTTTTCTAAGACTTGGATATTTAATTGCTAAGTGAAAGAATCCCAGTGCTTTTAAAGATCAGAAGTGATGATGTCAAGTACCTGAATAAGTGAGGGGTGAGACACAAAGGTCAGTAGATAGGGAAGGGGCACATGTATAGAGAGAAGGGTAAAAGGATAGTCTCATAATGGACATAGGTGTTTATGTTTGATAGCAGGAAGTTCCCAGCTCATGGATCTGTTTTCCTTGTCAAATAGGAATAGTATGTGTTGAGAATGAAAGGGTCAGAGGTTTAAGAATTGTGTGGGAACATCTTGAAACAGTTATTGTAGAGAATGGGAAGGTGAGTTAACCTGGGAGAAGTTAAGAGTTGGAAGTGTACATTTGAAGTTGGTCAGAGACGTTAACAATAGTTGGCAGCTGAGGATTGTAAAGAAGCAAGAGAACATTTGAATTAGTTTGGGTTGGAGTAGTTGCAAATGACAGAAAAGGCAAAAGCAAGACATGACTTTACTAGTATAATTTTTTTTTTTTTAACTTTTTAAACTTTTTATTGGTACTGGGGATCAAACTCATGACCGCCTGCTTGAAAGGCAGGTGCTTATGCCGCTGAGCTAAATCCGCAGCCCCTTTTACTAGTATAATTGAAATAATAACTGAAGACTATCAGCTGGGAGGGGAGTGAGCTGATAACCTGGGAGAAAGGAGCAGTGCCAGGCAATCTGGGAGCATCAGAGAATGGTCATGGCCAAGGCTGTAATCACTGAAAGAGCAGGAGGGGGTGGCCAGAAAAATGGGATGCAAAGCAGTACATATAATAACTGGTCAGGGACCTGTCCCTGGTGCCTAGGCAGAGTGGAGTGATAAGATCATTAGAGATGAGTAAGTTAGAAGAGCATAGAGGTCGAGGAACTTGAAAGTTACTAACAACATTGAGGTTACTCAGGGTGGTGGCAGAGCAGAAGTGCAGGGGAGCCAGCAACAGCAGGCGTAGATGAAGCAGCGAAGTGCCTTGCCTGAGGGCTAACCATGAGTCATACAGACCTCAGCAGGGCCAGGGTACTAATAGAGCTAGGGGAAGAGAGGCCTGTAAGAAGCTTTGAGGCACAGTGGGGACAGAGGGCCTTCTCTCCATTCCAGAAGAGGTGAGAATAAATTCTTGCACTCAAAATGGCTGCTGGAGAAGTAATTTCCTCAGTGGAGACCTTCGGCCAGCCTTCTGTGTGAGAGTATGAGGTCCTTTTATTTACTTATTTTTTCTGTTTCACTAATGACAGTTTTGGTTGATGATCAAGCCTAAGGAGTTAAAGATGTGCTCTGTGAACTGAAATTACACGTACCTAGAGAAATTTCCCTCTGGATCCTGAAAAAATTGTATGATGATTTAAAATGAGAATTTTAGAGCTGGGTGTGGTGGTACAGGCCTCTAACCCTAGCGTGTGGAGAGCTGAGGCAGGATTGCCTGTGAGTTCAAGGCCAACCTGGCTTACAGAGCGAGACCCTATCTTTTTTTTTTTTTTTTTTTTTTTTTAAGTTTTATAAAGGTAACTGCCTGGGCTTTATTTATAGATTTATAGAGCATTTTTACACTTGTTTTTTTCAGTATTCCTCTTGATTCCTGTATCTTTACTTTTCCTGTATTTTATAAATGAGAGCAATTTCAGGTGCAAAGAGAACACTTAACCATGACAGATTCAGGTGCAACTCACCACTGACTATTCATCACAAAGTCCATTTCCCCCATTGTGTGTTCAGTCTCTTTGCCTGCGGAGCTTCTGCCAGCTTTTCAGGTGACAATAGGCAGGGCTAAAAATATCTCATTGTAGTTCCTTTTCCTAATAAAATAAAGGATTGATAGCTTATGTGCCCAAGATAAATCACCAATAAAAAAAAAAATCACACAATGTCTTTCTTGAACTCTGCCCAGGTACTAACCTTAGCCAGATGTAATCACAGAGCCCCTTTGTCTAAAGGCTCCAGAGGCGGTAGTGGGTTATTTTTCATTTAAGCTCCAGTGATTAAAAAAAAAATTGTTCTTCAAAAACTGCATTTATTTTTGTTCTGTTCTATTATAAATGCTTGCTCATGATTCATCTCAAGAACAAAAAAGACTGGAAATTAGACCTATCATTTGGAAAGGTTACTGCCCACTGATTTAAAAATATAGTACCTTTCCCTCAGTGAAGTTCTGAGTTTTTCTAATGACTTCACAGGTGAGCAAATTGAAGTATCAGGAAATAACTCTGTCTTTGATGACAGTAAATCTGGAGTTAAAATTTGAAACTAGAAACCTATGCTACATACTTTATAGTATGTGGATTTTTTTTGACAATTGAAATTAAAAAATATGTTCAGTGATGTACCCTAGTTTTAAATGCACTCAGCAAATTACAGAATTTCTCTAGCTTCCCAGGAGGTTTCTTGGGGTCCATCCTACTAGGTAACCATCCCTTCTTTCCCCTAAGGGTTTCAAATAGTTCTTGTATTTGGAGAAACTGTGCCTACTGTTTACCTTTAAGAAACTTTGCCAGTTCTTCTCTTATTTTTACTATAAGGCCTTTTACAGAAATCATGCACTTTAGTCTTTAGTGTCTCTCATTTGTGGGAGGACTAAGAGGAATTACCTAAAGATAACTTGTAAAAGTGTTATTTAACAAGCTAGATAGAAAGAGTAACTGATTAATTTTATATTCATTTATAAAATATATTTTATATTTTTTACTTAACCATTTACTGAGCATCTGTCATGTGCCAATTATGAGCTGGTGGTGAAAATGCACAGTTCTTAATCTCAAGGTGCTGATATTCTAGGAGGAGGACACCTATAGAAACAAACAGATAAGCTTTCAACTGGAAAGTGAGAGAAACATAAGAAAGAAATCCCAAAAATCTGCTTAGGGTGTCAGGAAAACTTGCAGAAGCGGGAATACTTAATCTAAAAGGAGTTTTCCAGGATAGTGAATAAGTGGGAACAGGTTTGGGGGAGCTGGGCTTTGTATTCTGCACAGAAGACACACCCTATATAAAATCGTAGCAGTATTAGAGTACAGCATTTACATATCTGGATGTATTCACTATCTGGATGCAAAAATTGTACAGTATCTCAGTGTGTAGCACAGGGAGAAAGAGATGATAAGTGGACTAGAGGTGAATTTTTTCATGGGGCAAGAAGAGTCACATTAATATAGTAAAAAGCTCACTCTCCAGCATTATTTGTAGTTCGTGAAGAAGTTTAGACCAGAGGTGGCATGATTAATCTGTCTTGTTGTGTATGAGGAAACAGACACAGAGAAAAACTTACCCAAAATGGTATAATCTATAAGTAGTATAGGTGGCCTGATTCATATTCTGATACCTCAACCACTGTATCGTGGACAAAGCCAAAGGCAGATGGGTGGGAAGAATGGTCTTGGGGGACTGGAAGAACTTGGGAAGCTTCTTGGTGTGCTGCTTTGCCAACTGGAAAATATGTTTCTTCCAGGTGGTATTTTTTCTTTGTGTCACTTTTTCCTTAGGTTATGGTTTATCTCATTTAAGCTGCCATTATTATTAATCCACAGAAAAAAAAAAAAAAGCCCAGAATGTTGACCTAATTTTACAAAACAAGTTACTTGTCAGCTGATGAACACATGAGAAATTTTCAAGGCTTTCACAGTGGTTTTAAGGTAAGTTCAGTTTTTTTAAGGCAATACTCAGTATTGTCCCTAGCAAACCACAGTAAGGTTTTGTTGTTTAATAAAAAATTGAATTTAACCTCAAAACACTGTGACAGTCTTAAACAGTTACCTGCTGGCCAAATTCTTCTCTTATCCCATAGCCCAGGATGATCGTATCTTTCCTACGTGGTCTTCAAGATGATAAAATTAGCCAGGGATTTAGCTCAGGGGCATTAGCGCCTGCCTGGCAAGCGTGAGGTCGTGAGTTCAATCCCTAGTAACCCCTCCCCCCCAAAAAGATGATAAAATTGAGCTTAATTGAGGCTGAGTTGCTTTGTCCTAGGTAGGATAAGAGTGGGATCCAAAAGTTCAGTTTTTTCACCACTGCATGGTGCTGCCATGAGAGGCATTCAGATGGCAATGAGCTGCTTTTGGGAAGAAAGAGCAGGCCTCAGCAGCAGCAGTTCCTGCCAGTGCTGTCCAGCAGAGCTCTTAAACTTCTCTGAGGTTGACCTGGGTCAGACCTGCAGAGACAGCATACACCAAGTAATCATAATTAATGTGTCTAGTACCATTTGGTTAGAATGTCTGGTACGTCAGGAAAATAAATGTCTGTTTATTTCTGTTAACATTAAATCTATTTTCCACTGGTGTTGTCCATATCTAATATATGGGTAAGTCCAGGACAATGTGAAGTTGAGCAGAAACAAAAGCACTGTGTTCTTTAGTAGAAGACTCTTCTAGCATGAGTTCCATTTTTCTTTTGGTGACTCTGCAGTTGACAGTCACTATGCAAGAGAGTGTTTTTAAATTAGATTAAGCAGTGGGTCTTAAATAACACCAGAGGCTTATAGAGTTCATCTAGTCTGGCTATTTTGAAAGCCTAGAGCAGTGTGGCTAACCTCTGGCACTCATACCACAGCAGGCTGTATCATTGAAAACTAAAAGGTTCACTGTCGCTGGTCTAATATGATTGCTCTAAAATAAACTGTTTTATGACAATAAGAAAAAGCTTCTGTATCATGATAAACTAGTCTACTATTTGATTCTTCATGAATTGGTGTGGTTAAATTTATAGGATGTACAACATTGAATTTAGAATCAGATTCATTATTTTAGAGAGTAATACAAACTTTTGAGATTGGAGAGAAAAGATTTAAGTTGTTCCAGCTAATTTTCTATTGTTTTTAATAAAATTTGAAATTTGAATACTAATATAGGAAGATTTGTTTCTTGATCTGTGAAAGTAGAAAAGTAAAAAGCTGACAGTTATGTGTTAAAATGTAACAAAAGAGTTTGTAATGCGGGGCCAGATGTTTAGCTCAACAGCACAAGTGCCTGCCTGACAAGTGCAAGATCATGAGTTTGATCCCCAGTACCAAAAAAAAAAAAAAAAAAAAAAAAAAAAAAGTATGTAAAGGATTTACTTTTGAAATTATTCTTTTTTTTTTACAGACTTGTTTAAAATGTGGCCTTTTAAGTAATTTTAAGTGTGCACAGAGAAAAATCAAATTATAAATATACAACATTAGTTTTTTTATAAAATAGAATAATATGTTAGCTTTTAATCATCAACCTTAAAGAAATCTAAAAGTAAATTGTAAAGTACTAGAAACACTTTCAAAAATGTACAAATGTGCAAATTTCAAAAATGTACAAATTTCAAAAATGGAGTTGTTAAAATCTGAGAACAGTAGCTTTTTAAAATTTTTTTCATTTTTGTTTTAAAGAGAAAAAGTAAAATAAAATTTCAAAACCTAATTAAGAGCTAACAATGGTATATACTTTGCATATTGTTATTTTCACATCAGTTACTCAGTACAAGACATCTGCGTTTAATTATCTGGACAATGTTAGCGCAAACCTTTCTCTTCAATGAGGTCAAAGAAATCAGTAGTATAACTATGTTATATATAGAGAATTTCTTTCAACTTCTTACACTAGTGAGACAATATGGTGTTTACACATGCATGTCTGATTGATTTCACTTAGTGTAGGGGTTCTGTAAGCAAAGGGAAGATACAGGGACACACAGACCAAAGGTCAGCAAGATGGCTGCTGGGCCTGATCAGCATAAGCAAGCAGCTTTTATTGAGAGCATGCTTAGATGATAAAACTTGTTTGCTTCTTGTCCTATAAGATCTCCTGCTTTTATCCTGAGGGAATGTTTCAAGGCCTGCACTTTCTACCAAGACATTGTCAACCAGATGTGTCTGGAACAAAAGAATCAGTGTGACTGCTCTACAATTTAGCGTGGTTTCAAGTTGCAGCCATTTACCTATGAAAGTCTCAAATTTATCCTTTTTATGGCTGAGTAGTATTCCATTGTGTAAAAATACCACATCTTTTATCCATTCCTCAGTTGATGGGCTTTTAGGTTGTTTTCAAGTCTGGCTATTACAAATAATAAAAAGTAGCTCTGATTGTCTAATGAGTCTTACAGCCATTTCTTCCGAGTTTCACAGTCATATTTTTGGCTTTAAAGGACAGCATTGTGTCATTGGGTTCTGTCCTGTTTTGAAGAACAGAGCTAACAGGGACATAGATGTGTCATGCTTAAAAAGCTGCTTGTCAGTACTTAATGACTCACCTGGGCATCAGTCTCTTTGCTTTTGCCCGCCTGGCTTACTTTAGACTATGGCTAGCAATGAAAGCATTGTAGGGCTTGCCCCCTGAACTTTGACTTCTTCCCCGGTCTAATATTCAAGAGGTTTTGAGCAGTTTTGCTTCAGAAGTACTGCGAAGCCTAGCTGTACTTTGAAAGTGAAATGAGATGTAGGTTGTTGTACATGACTGTCAAAGACTGAGGATTGAAAACACTGCTGGAGGAGATGTGTTAGGTCTGTGATTTTGAGCTATTCGGGGTGTTTACTGTATTTTCTTAAACTCTATAATATATTTTTAGGTATGGGAGAGAGTAACTGTTCCTGGAATAGAAAAGCCCTGCTGCACCGAGACACGATGCTGGCGGCTGCGGCTGTTTACAGAGGTGAGGGACTCACCACACTCCGCCTGTGCCTTGCTGGAAAGCTTGTGCCTTGCTGTGTTGATTCCTTTAACATTGCCAATGCCTTTTCTGTGCCTGGGAAGATACTATCAAACTTTGTGCCCTTCTTCTCAAAAAACAGATCTTGTAGCTCTGTATCTTTCCAAACACTCATTTTTTCCTTATTGCCAGCCCCCTCCATATTAAGAATTTTTCATCTGAGGCATTCTCAGAATCCTACGATTATCCTACTACCCATTTTTCTTTGGAGGAAGTGATTTTTATTGAGCAATATTTTTCAGGCTTTAACCATTATTTGTGTTTATAGAAATGTACAGAAACTCAGATGGCTCAGTACCTGCCACGTACCAGATCTATCACATGATAGGATGGAAATACCATGATTCTCAGGTAACATTATTAAGACATCACTTTTCTTACTGGGTTCATGTTTCTGTTTCATTGTTTATTAACTTAGGGTGTTTAAAAATATATGACAGAATTAAGGAGTTAATCTGTTTCTAATATCTTAATCTTTTATTATTTTCAGGCAAGACCAGCTGAAAGAGGTTCTGCAACCGTGTCATTTGGAGAGCTAGGAAAACTAAATCTTACGTCACAGGGGAAAGACTCACAATAAATGTTTTATTCAGTGTACTGTAGTCTAAAGTTTTCATGACAAATGGGTAGCATTCTGCCAGATGTTGTGACACGCACACCTGTACATAATCTCAGCTAGTTGAGAGGCTGAAGCAGGAGGATCACTAATTTGGGGCTAATGTGGGCAACCTGGTGAGATCCTGTCTCAGAAAAAAAAGAAAAATGAGTAGTTTTTACTTCTAAATTACATTTTAGGGCAAGAAACAATTTATAAGCATGTACCAGCAGACTTTTCCAATAATTAGAATAAGTTTAATACATCTCTATTTAATAGCCATTTCAGATTCATATTGTTTTTATTTTCATAAGGATGCTGCTGTTTTGTGATTTAGGTGCCTCTTTTGCAGATTCAGCCTAAAAGCAAGGAAAGTATTTTCCTGAAAACCTACAAGTATGTTCCCATTTATAAATGCTTGACTTGATGGGAAAACATTGCTCATTCTGACATTTTATACCATTTTTTTCCTTCTGGTCTTTTGTTATTTCTGTGGGAGGACCACAGCCATAGAGACGAGAGGAGTAGCAAATTGGTAGCTTCTAAGATCCAGTTGACAAAATGAAAACATAGACTTTTTATAATGATTGCTGTACGATACTTAAGCCAGAATTCCTTGTCACATTGTTGTCTTTGTCTTGAACAGAAACAGAGGATTATGTACCTTCCTTGGAGCTGCTGTTTGGTTTTGGACTTTAGTACAGCATGTATGATTATTCCTTTTAGAAAAACATTAGAATTCTAATCATACTGCTTTTTCACTTTCATGATCTGAGTGGGACCACCATGGTTTTAAACACCCCATCCTACCCTACAAAACAAGAATACATTTTAAAGAATTACAGAGGCAAAGTCACTATACAGTGATTAATGTGCTATTTATTGTTTGGCTTTCCTTTAATTTCAGAGCCATAGCACTGTCATCTCTCTCTCTCTCTCTCTCTCTTTGTTTTTTTTTTTTTTTTTTTTTTTTGTGGTACTGGGGATCGAATTCACAACCTCACACTTGCCAGGCAGGTGCTTATGCCACTGAGCTAAAACCCCAGCCACAGCACTGTCATCTCAGTCCAGGTTTGCTGTCCTGCTCTCATCTAAGGTTTAAAATTATTTGGAAACAAGCCAAGTTCAGACAGCTGAGAGTTGGTGGGAAGAGGATGGTGATATACCAGAAACAGTAAGAAAGCAGGAAGCAAAGAAGAGAGAGTTCTAAGGCTGTGTTCTCAAATTAGTGGCAAGCTGTTTGCTTTCCTTTTCATTTAACCTGGGCTTGGCCCCAGCGTCTCTGACATAAGCAGTTTATCATGTTATTTACTTCCCTCTGCCTCCTTTCTCCTGCTTGAGTACCCTCCCTCTACCTTACAAGCACCAGGCTTTTGTGAGTAAGAGCTGTGTCTTATTGTTTAGAGCATGGTACTTTGCTCTTAGTAAATATTTGCTTACATTTTGAATAGAATTAAATTATATAAAGACTCATGCCTTTTGAAAGACAAAGTTAAAAATCCAGGCTTTAGAGGACAAAAAATACTACTGGGAAAAATCACTGGTAACATTTTGGTAAATTTGATAACTTTTTGTGTTTAGCATAAAATGAAAGATAGTACTTATGAAGTTGGATTTGGAAGTTTTGTGGGTTTTTTTTCCTTTTTTTCAGATCATTTTCTTTATTAGTACATGTTTGTAGTACATATGTTTACATTTGTAATGTGGAGTTGTACATGTACATAATGCATCTTAATTCCTTTTTTTCTGTGTGTTCCCAAAAGGACATGAGCATATACGCATTAATACTTGTTTTTGAAGAGTGTATGAAACTGCTAAGTAGTTATTGCTAAGAAGCAAGCTGTGTGTGTGTGTGTGTGTGTGTGTGTGTGTCTGTTGTGTGTTGTGTGTGTTATTCTATGACATTGCTTGTCGGGGCTCCCAGGCCTCGCCAGAAAGTAGAAAGATGATTTATACTTTCCTATTTTTATTTCTGCAAATTTGAGTTTTCTTAAAGATGTTATTTCTGTTTAATATGGCAGTAGCAAAAATATTTTTTTTAAAGTTGGTATTTACTTAAAATAGTCTGTCAAGCTTTAATCATTTGGAAACCTCAGAAAATTCATTTCTATGAATAGTTGTATTTTCTAAATGATGAAGAGCTCATCACTAGGAAACAAAACTTTTTTTTTTTTTTTTTTTTTGAGACAGAGTTTTGCTATGTACCCCAGGCTGACTTTGAACTCGGCACTCTTGTCTCAGCTTCTCAAATGCTGGGATTGTAGGTGTGCTCTACCATGCCCAGTTACAACAAGATTTTTAAAATCTGATTAAAACTCCATCCAGCTGAGGTGTATTGAGCTTAGTTATAGAGCACTTACCCAATTTACATGAGGCCTTGGATTCAGTCCTCACCACTAGTAAAAAAGTAAAACAATTACCATTTCTTGGCAGGTCCAATTACTATCATAAACTGATAGTAGTTGGATTTTGTTGTTTGACTGGCTCCTGAAAACGAGGTGATTTGTTTTGAGTCTCTTTTCTACACTTTTCTCACTTATCACTTTTTTTTTTTTATTGGTACCAGGGATCGAACTCACGACTGCCTGCTTGCAAGGCAGGCGCTTTATGCCGCTGAGCTAAATTCCCAGCCCCTCACTTAACAGCCTAATAAAAATGAACTGTGTTAAGTCAGTTTTTGCCCCTTAGCTGCTATAAAAATTAGTTTTCAGATTATCAAGTCTTGAAAACTCGTGTGTAGTAGGAGAGCAGAAGTGGATTCTGGGAGAAGAGCTATCTTTGCAGAAAAATTCATGAGCTTTAATTGGTTCCTTGAACAAAAGTCTTCACTGAGCTTCATGTGCCAGTCACTCAGGTATTCTCTATTATTTGTCCCTCTGGTAGGGCCTTTTGTGTGGACTCCGACATCTGTTTCCTACTAGGAGACCTTCTGGATTATTTCCTGGTTCTTGGCTGTATTCTAAGTTATTGGCTAGCATAATCCAGAGTTAGCAATGTGGGGAAATTATATTTTTAAAACAAAGATTGTTGACTTTAGAGAGGAATTTCTGTAAAAGATGGAAGAGACCCAAATATACCAAGTATGTAGTGTGATTTTAGGAAGTTATGTAAGTACTTCACTGTGAGGTAGTTTCCAATCGTGTAGTACCGTTTTCACCCACTAGGTGGAAACAACTACATTGTGGATAGTATTGAAGATCTGTATTACGGTTTTCATACTTCTCTTAAGTAGAAATGGAATAAAAGTGTGTTATGAATCAGCTTCTGGCTAGGAAAGAAGTGGACACTTGGAAGAAAGTCCATATATTTGATATGAGATTATTATTTTATTCATTCGTAAATTTCCATTAGCTTCTCTTGCCTGAGGTGAAATGTTTTGACATCTTTTAAGAGGAGAAGAGAGGATCTTCTTGTGGCTAATGTGAAATTTAGTTTCAAAAAATGTATGATAAGTGGACATACCCTTCCAGAAATTCCAGTATTTTAACTTTCTGCTTAGATACTTGACAGGTAAATGTTGCTGGTTTATGAAGCATTAATTTGAAAATAATGGTGTAGCGAGCCCTGATAAGTTGTTAACAGATAAGGAAATAATATTTTGTTATCCATGGTGAATTTGAAATCTGTCCATAAATTTTTTGATGTGCTGCTTTATTTTTTTATTAGTACATGTTTGCAATATACAATGATTACATTTCTCCTGGGGAGTTGATATATGAACATAACACATCTAAATTGCTTTGTTTTTCATCTTCTTCCCCTTTTCCTTTCTCCTTCCTTTCATCTCTTGATCCCCTTCCTGTTTCCTCTTGTCTTTTGTTTTAGTTATTATATTTAGGGGGGTTATTACCTTCCCTTTGAATATGGGGACAGTAGTGACTCTTTCCAATAGATGAATGTGGAGGTGAGGTGGTATCTTCAAGACACAGCAGTAAAAGACATTGCTTCTTCCTTGCTCTTGTCTCAAGTCATTCACTCTAAAGAAAGCTACTTGTTGTATTGTAAGGCCACTAACTAGCTCTCTGGAGTAGTCCTAGGGATAAGGAAAGGTCTCTGGTCAAAAGTGATGTGGGGGAATCATCCTGAAAACCAATCCTCCAATCCCAGGGCAACTTTAGATGACTGAAGTCCCGGCCAACATTTGACCACCACTTCAGAGAGACCCTGAGCCAGATCCACAGAAAATGAGAAAGTAAATATCTGTTGTTCAAGTCAGCGCCAATTGAAATGTTACAGAAAATGAGACAATAATTGTTGCTTAATAGTTTTAGAATAGTTTGTTACAAAGAATGGACAACTAACACATTCTTTCTAGGAAAAGTTTAGTGCCCAGAGCATGTTGAGTTGTTACTATAGGAGTGAAACACTCACTAAAATTGGGTAAGATTAACAGATATCCCTTTAGGGGCTGGGGATTTAGCTCAGCGGCATAAGCGCCTGCCTTGCAAGCAGGCAGTCATGAGTTCGATCCCCGGTACCGATAAAAAGGAAAAAGACAAAAAAAAAAAAAAAGAAAACATCCCTTTGATTCATTACCAGAGAATATCATGTCTGAGATATTCTTGCCTGAAGGTTTGATTCCATGGTATCAGTAGAATTTAACTTCACAATGTATGGTTAGTAGGCTTCAAATTTCACTTCCTAGGACTGTTAGGATCAATATTCTGGAAGTGTGAATGTGGCTATTTCCAAAGTGAAAGTAGGCAATTTGGGAGGACTCTGACCTTAAGAATTCAGTGAGCTACACAGCTGCACATGGGCTCCTCAGTCAGTTCCTTTTTTCTTAGCTGTTGAGCTGCTGACAGCTTGTTATCAGGATGGCCTGTTGATGCAACATACTTGTTAACAGCTTCTCAAAGAGCACAGTGCTGTGGAAATAGTATGGGTTTTCAAAAGGGCAGGCTTGATTCTGTATGCCTAGTCATTGTTAAAACCAAGCAAAGGTTAGCTGCCTGCCCTTCCAAAGTGGCCAGTGTAACCAGCCTGTCTCCAGAATGTTCTT